CAAACATGGTCTACAACAACTCCAAATGACAAAATAATCCCAGCCATGAACTTTTTTTGAGCATTTGATAGCCAAAAACTTGAAAATTTTCGTCATTAAAAAAAAAAAAAAAAACCTACATTATAATCCAAGATGGCGGCCCGCATGTTTTGCCTCTGCTCTTAGACCAATATTATTAATTTCAAAGTCATGAAAAGGCACTAAATATCAACAATCATTGTCTACAACAACTCCAAATGACAAAATAATCCCAGCCATGAACTTTTTTTGAGCATTTGACAGCCAAAAACTTGAAAATTTTCGTCAAAAAAAAAAAAAAAAAAAAAAAAAAAAAAAATTGCCGATTTTTTCCGATCATTTTGATTGATCGGCGATCGGAAATTTTTTGCCGATCACCCCTGATCGGATCGGTATCGGCGGCCGATCCGATGATCGTTTACAGGGTTATGCAGGCAAGCTTGAAAAGTAGCCCCCGAAAAATAAATATTAATTTTTTCCCTGCAACCTAAATATAGCTAAATTTTGACAAAATGCCCATAAAAAGTGAAAGTCGTTTGGCCTGAATTAACAAAAGAGATTGCTTTAATATGAAAACAGACATTTAAAAAAATATGAGGTTTGAAAAAAGTTTATTTTTCTTTTACCATCTCAATCTGGAGAACAAACCACTTTGGAGAATAGACGTAATGCCAGTTGAGGCGGTGGGATTCAACTGTATTGTTTCAAATATATGTTCCACGTACTGGTACACATATGATTGACTAAATTTTGGCTGTGGTAGTCTACTATCAACCAAGGCGGACAAAGGGTTAATGAGTCAACGATGTGCAGCTTGCAGGGGGTGTTATTGGTAATATTGAGACTGCTCATGCAGTGGGTTTCCAGCTGAGGACATCCGTCTCATCATAACATGTGGTGTAAGGTGTTACAATGAATGACTAACTAAATTTTCTATGTAATAGAAGGTCAATAGCAGATAAATTAATAACAAGTACATGTACACCAGGGTCACCTTCCAAGTGTATGTAATGTAAGTGTATGGACCTAAATGTAAATTGGAGGCATGTATTTACTGTACTTGTATAACCTAGCCATGATTAGTGATTACAGTTTGGTGATAACACTTTAGAGATATGATTTTACACAGAAAATAATTGAAATAACTTCAAGAGCAATTTAAAGATTTTTCTGTTTGTTTGTGTTCTTTTGTTGCCTGTCAGATGTACATTATGTACAGGTATGTAAGAATAATCTGGTTAGTGGTCACATCTATACATTAAATAAGGAGGGTACAGGTTGTAAGGTGTTATCCTAGAACAGTACAGGCTGTAAGGAAGAAAAAAAGAAATACAGGTAATACAACATGTACAGTACTGTACATCTTGATTATTATCAACAATATGTGTATTGTACACTATACATGTTCATGTACACTGTACAGTACACGTAAAGTGTATGAACACTGCTATTTTTCAAAGAATATGCCATATTGATTCAACATTTTCACTGCTTTGATTCTTAGTACACTTACTGGTACATGTAGTTTGCAAATTGTGTGGTTTCTGGAAGGCGTATTGTTGTACAGTTCGCAATGTATTGTACAGTTATATTATACAGTAATTGTATGTGGTAGAATAAGCATACAGTATCCATATTGATCTCTTTTTGACTTATTGTTAATTTTTCCACAGATCATTGCACATTCTTTCAGGGGGAGGCACACAAAAGAATGTCAGGTGAGATGAACTGTGTGACTTTCTTTGAAATCGAAGCCAAACAGTTATTAGCACGTCTGACCTCTTAGTCATTATACTGTGCATACACATTGCACACTCTATGAATCAACATAAAGGTTCTGTACATGTATGAACTGAAAATGAAATCAACCTGTCAACTTCTCTGTACACAACGGTAAAATAGTACAGCAAAATAAAGTTATTAATCTTTAAATAATTTTAAAATTAAAAACTACTGTAAATGTCCATGCAAATATGTACATGTACAAGTACATTCATAAGGCATAATTTTTTCTATGGTATTAAGTTCTACAAATAAAATGTACCAGTATACAGTGTACATATACAGACATGTAGTAATCTTGCTCCTTGAGACATTTAAATATATGTACACAAGTATGTATTGAATGAAGAAAACGAAAGCTAAACAGAAAATAAGAAAAAGAAGAAAAGACAGAAGCAGTGGACTTAGAGTTACACTGCCAAAGAATTTTGAAACAGACTACCAGTACTTTATACAGTAGTATCATTTATGCACTGGGACAGTTTCAGAATCACTCTTTTGTTCTGATTCAGCATATATCATAATGTACCTCATTCAACAAACAGTGTTTTTTTGTGTTTTTTTGTATTGTTTGTCAATGAGTAACCACAAAGATGTCTAACCATGTACATGTATACTAGTACACCTTATCGGGGAGACAAGACAATCAACAGGAAGTGGTGCAAAAATATGTCGGCTTTTGTAAAGCCATTCTTTGATCTACAGGTACATTTGTAAATCATGCACCAAGATTTTGCAAGATTCCTTTATAATGTTAACCATTTTACGGACACTTTATTCACTTTTGTTGGTTCAACTTGTGTATTTCCATTTTTTAATTTAATTAATACAAGTACCTGTACATACGAACACATTGTTAGTATATCTTGGTTATTTTCATTAATACAAACATCAAATATTGTAAAAATAAAAAACACACATATAATGTTGTATGCTAAAATTAATAGAACAGTACTTTAAAGGTACGATATCCCATTTGCAGCCAACATCAAATTCTGTAGAACTTTACAGGAATTATGAATATGTCATGTACATGTACAGTAGGTCTACCCTATTTGCAAAAGTTAAACGTTAGCAGTGTCCTATTACCGGTATTCATATTATGCAAGGAACTTCACTGTCAATGTCAGACACTGTATTAAGTGACTGACTGACATCTTTTTTTTTCTTTTGTAATAACATACATAAAATGAGCTGTAAAGGCACATGTCACCGGACTGAGGATCACAAGGTCCGCGGTTCAAGTCTCACCACGTACATGTAGTTGTAGTTTCAGCTGTGTCCGTAGTCTTAACTTCATGTACAAGTTTAAAATGTCATGGTAACAAACATTAACAGCATAACAATCCCATATTAAAGTCAAAAGTTAAAAGGCGGGCGACAGGAAACTCAGCATTGAGTTATAAGGGCCTTATTATTATCATTATATGCTAGACACAATTTGACACATGTATGAGCAAATGAATCGGTATTCTATAAACTTAAACTTAAACTAAAGCCAATCTACTGTCCATCCTCTGTCCATCCTCTGTCCCTCCAAACAAAGTTGATCGATTTACACCGCCACCTACCGTACTCATCACATATATTAAAAAGTTGTCACAGTGTGATTTGGAATCTTGCCTTTTTCAACTACCCGCAACATGCCAAAGGATGCTAATTTGGAAAGATGCCGGATCCAATCGCATTACCCCATCTTGTACTGGTAGTTTCATTTTTATCCACTTCTTTTAAAAAATTGACAAGTTTTTTTACTTTGTCATCCTGTCCTTTGTTTTTGGAGGAGGGGAGGGGGGCTACAGTGTATATCAAAAGTTTCATTGTTAATCAAATCTTGAGTTACTGAACGTGATATGGATGCAGTTCTTTTACTAGTATGGTGGTGTGACTATAGTTCGCACGTGACCCAAGTTCGCTATCTCAAAAAATCTGTAATGGAAAGGGGAACATAAAATTACCCAGAGACAATATTTTCTTTTGAATTGGGTGCGAAATTATGAAAATATTGACAAAATATCTGCAAATTTTGCAGACATTTGAGTCCACTCCAAACAAATATTAACTTAACGATAAAGGTCTGGAAATCTTGATTTTGAGAGCAGATATCCTCTAAATTGTAAGTAAAAAGTGGTACCAACTGATTGTAATGATATCTTGCCTTGCAAGTTATGAAATTACCTTATTTTCGATAAATCAGCTGTAAACTCCTGTGCGCGAAGTAAGGTCTAGTTGTTTTTATGACTTTTTTAGTTGCAGCGCACTACCGATCTGACATTGAATTTTTAATCTTAGACCGCTAGACTATATCTCTGGAATCCTTTTACAATAAATGTTCTAATTTCTACCTGAACCAACTTTGCCGTCCATTTTGTAATAATTAAAATCAGCATCAGCATCAGCATCAGTATACGGAAGTGTGAGGTGATCCTGTTGAAACTTCCGGTCGTTTCATTGAGTGGTGCTTCGTTCGAAAAAGAACCTTAACTATTTTTGCTCGCATGGCGGGTGGACGCACAAATAAATTTTATGGAAGCATTTGGTGCTGAGAGGACCAGTGCTTGTCCAATCTAATCTTGAAAGAAGTGATTGAGGATGAGGAGATGACAGATGTAGGAAGACTATTCCAGGATTCTACTACTCAAATAAATAAATAAATTTGTGTAGAATATGAGAAATCATAGATCGTATCACATTGTTTAATATCTCAAAATCTCCGCAAACTTTGGTCACCCCTTCATAGATCTAGTTACTTTAAAAAGTATTTCAATTAGACTAGACCTAGCCTATAAATTTAGATCTCGATCTACAGACTTCCAGTAGCAGTAGATCTAGACTCTAGAACTAATCAGAATATCTATTTGTTAGATCAAGTTATGAATCATAAAATATACAATAGTTTGCGTGAGGTCTTATGATCTTGAATTTCTTTTGCAGTTCTTTAGTTTAATTGACTATGAACATGACAATAATAATGAAATTGACACGATCAGAACAAAATGACGAGACCCGAGGTGCTCCATTGCTCCCTCCCTGCAGCAATTTCTCTTCTGCACGTTTATTTTGAATCATTCATCTAACCTATAAAAAAAAGAGGTGTTCATTATTAAACAAGTCTATACAGGGTTTAATTTATTAAATAGTCTATATTAAATGAGTTAATTTAGTTAAGATGTTATTTGATTCAGCATCATTCTACTTACAAGCTCTCTGCGAATGGCGTCGTTGGTTTCGTTTTTGTGAGAATGTGTTCTGCGACTGAAAATCCAAAATAACTGTTCTCCGGTCCTTCTTTGATGACTGGCAATCTTGTTTCAAAGTTAAAACATAAAGTTCTCTCTACAACTGCTACTAAAACACACAAAATTGTCGCCAAAGCGACGGGTATCTTCGTCATTATTGATGATGATTCTGTCCTCTACACTGAAAGCCGCGGAGTTACGCTGTCAGATCTCCGCCAACGATAAGCTGATGTAAACTTCGCCGGTCCCACTCGTGCAGGCATCTGCTAGAACACACCCAAATGACAGCAGAGATTGCGGGCTAGGCTAGATGGCTCCGATTACTCATGCTAATGATAGCTTGTGTATGTATAGTTTCGGTATCGCGGATGAATCCATTTAGCAAGTATGCTCATGTAAACAAAATAAACAAATTACTTGAGAGATTTTAGATTGAATTGATGCTTCATTAGTTATGATAACACAAATATGATATACCGTGACTGCAATGAGATGTAATTCTTGTGTACCTATATAGATTTGTGGCTCAAAGTTTGATAACAATATAAAGCTATTTTAGTATAGTGCACTGATATTTTGTTTATTTGATTTGCATTTCGGTTCTGAGAGGTCATGTAGAAAATTATACAGTGCAATACGAATGTACAGCTGTAATATACAGTCGAACTTCCATGTCATTTCCACTGTAGATTGCATGCATTTCACAGTGTTTTAGGAAGAACATCTTTATTGTATTTTGAACTTTTGTAATATTCTCCTCATTTCGAAAATGTTGTCATCCATGCTTAAGGAGCATCAGGCAAAGCAGGTTTCTAGGCGAGAAGTTCAAGGTAAATTGATAATTATATCTAGTTTACAATTCCTGTTCAGTATCATGAAGATTTACTTGTCGATCACACTCACTATCATGTCCTTGATATATTTATAATTGACAGAAAAATCTGTCTACTTGGAGGATTTCTTGAAACATATTTTGTCTTTTTATTGTAGGAGAGGAAATTGGTGAAACCAGATGTATTCCCAGGGGAACATTGCATATCCCTGAACAAAAGAAACTGATTTTTTGGTCTAGAATGAATATTCTATTGTAATTGTGTATGTGTTGCTGTCGTAAAGACTTGTTATATTCTATTCACTGTCTTCGAAGCTTTTTAATCAGAATTTTACAATCATGTGGATGTGTTTGTTGAGTATAGATGAGTATATAATAAGACAGGTCTCGATCAGTATTTATCCACAGTAGACAGGTTGCATTCATTTCATTGTAATGAATATTTTGCTAATTCCACATCCTATAGGACCAAGATTTATGTTGTGACATTTCTTTCAACAGAGAAGAGGAAGAAGGAAGCTGCTGTTGCTGCTACTGCTGTCACAAGGTCTTTGGTGGAGAATCTAAACAGCAGGTTCGATATAATTGTGTCTTTCATCAACTCTGTTACCTTTAAAGCCCCACTGCACTACTTATAGCTACTTGCGCCCTCTATATATAGCAAACAATGCCTAAGCGGTGACCATTGATACCCCACGGTCCCCTTTTTCTTATGTTAATTGAGAGCTGATTTGATGAGATAACCGCCTGTCAGTGACCATGCAGGGAGGTGTAATCCCTCCTGGCCAAACTAGTGCGGATAGGCTTTAACAAATATTGTTGTTGCAAAATACATAAGGAGACACAATGGCTCAGTGATAGAGCAGCGGTGTCGTAACCTGGGACCCGTTTCACAAAGCCTTTTTTTAATGACAAATGACAAAAATCAGTGAAAAATCTGCTGATAACCAATCAGAACCAAGGATTTCACTAGCTTACAACGAAAACTGTCATTTGTCACTGATGATAATTTTTTTGAAATGGAGCCTGGGAGGTCCTGGGTTCGAAACCAAGTCAATGCGCTAGTGCCCTTTGGTTGAAGCCCCACTATACTACTTGTAGCTACTTGCTCCCTCTATATAGAAAACTTCCCCAATCGGTGCCTGTTGGTCCCCCATGATCCTCTTTTTTTTATGTTAGTTGAGAGCTGAGTTAATGAGATAGCCACCTGTCAGTGACCTCGCTGTGTGGTCTAATCCCTTCAGGCCCAGTAGTATTGACGGTCTTTAAGGCATTAATCCTCATTACCGAGTCCTTCGGAGAGCACTTAAGGCCTTCGGTCCTCTGGTTGCTTACTTACAAGCATACTACATGTACATGCTTTCTCAATGAGTCAGATAAAACAAACCAAAACAATAAAGCTTTAGATTAATGCAATGACATAGCATTGAGAGATAGATTAAATGGAGTCTTCACATGTTTGCCTTCTATGTTGAACATTATTTAGGCTGAAATGAGGATTAGAACTTCAATGATTGAATGATTTGTAGACAAATGAAACAAAACATCAAGTTGTTTTTTATGACTATACTGTTCATGTACTTCAGGTCATAAGATCATCCACTATAGATTTATTTATGGATGCTAAAAGATCCCATTAATTGATGCTGCTGTGATCTATTCAATTTCAAATCTTTGTCATTCAACCTACATTTATTGTGTGGTAGATAGTATTCACCTACTAAAAGTAGACAGTTTGCTCTTTCCATTGTCTGTCCCTAAAACCTGTTTCTATTAAATCTCCTAATCCCTTCTATTTTTTGGTTCCTAACGCTATTCTGTATTCATGTTTAGTAGATGGGATAGGATTACAATCTGACCTTTATTAAACCTATTGCAAACAAAATTAAATTAAATGGTATTAAATGAGTTCACCTGCGATTCATAAAAGCAGGATTTATCACCTTTTTTTGTTACTTGTTAGCCAGTGGCTGTTATCATCAAAGGAGTCTCATTATAAATTCAAGCTCAATCTTTATTATTCCCTGAGTACAAAGCCTTTCTCAGAAGTGTACTGGTATAATAATATTGTCTTTAAAAAAAATTATTATATTTTTTTTTAATTAACAAATTGTCATGATCTCAAAATTTTAAAATGCACCAACATAGGATGAAAGAAAACCCCAGCATTTTTCTTCTGATTTGCTCCCTTTTCCAAGAAAAATATTTGAATTTCATGAACACCTTTGTCCCAAGTAGTTGAACTTTTACTTGACATTATATCTCAAATCAAAGAGTGTAATGCTATTATATTGTATGACTAACTGATTTCATGTGAACTCTATTTGTTTGTACAGAGTAGCTATTGCATACAACAATGAGAAGAGACTTGATTCAGAGACGAAGCAACTTCAGGCCAACTCTGGCCAGTTTGCTAAACAGAGTATGCAGTGGTTGTCTCTAGTAGAGAACTTCAACCAAGCTTTAAAGGTTTGTGAATGATGTCTTTTCTCTTCGACAAAGGCTTGTTTTTCTTCTTGAAATTCAAAAGTGATGCATTTTTATGTCATTGTGAACTTGATATCATCAGATGCCTTTTCTGTTATTAGATGAATAAGAGAAAGAAATAAAATGGCTGATTAAAAACATGTCTAATAAAGTATCAGTTAGTGCCTTTGTGCTACATGTTTGTAATGTAAAGATGGTAACACAGCAGAATTCAAACACGCTTTATAGCCTGCCTTGGGATGGCTTCTTCTACCCAATTACAATTACAACATTTCTTTTTATTGTCATGTGTATTCTTCCTTATTTTTTCATACAGGAACTTGGAGATGTTGAAAACTGGGCTCGGAGCATAGAGACAGATATGCAGACGATAGCAAGTGCTTTAGAATATGCATACAAAGGTTATAATCCTTATTCTTGTATGAGGTTAAGGACATTTTAAATAACTTGATAGAAAATAATGCAAACATTATAGAAACGTCACAATATTGTTTTCTAGATTGAGTGGGGGGGGGGGGGCAGGGGCTTAGCAAGACAGAAACAGGCTGTTCCATGCTGAAGGGGGTCTGGGGCTTATCATAAATGCATTGTGACAAAAAAATGAAGTAGTGGTCACAAATTCGCAAATTATGATGATGACTTCTGAATTAGTACTGACACATGCATCTTGCCACTCATGATCCTTGCTATATTAACTTTCACCCTGAATTCAGTAAATTTGTTAACCGGCTAGATGTCCATGAGAAATATGTTTCAACAATTTTAACTATAAACAGGTTTACTAACATAAGCAAAGTGTATGCATACTTTTTAATAACAAAGGTTGTTCTCAACAAATTGAAAGGCTTGCCCAACATAGCAACGCATAATGGAAGCAGATTGGATTCCAAGTATTGTAGTTTATTCACCAATAACAGGTTAAAGGTTAATACATTGTCACTAGGTCCCAGGAAAGGGACAATCCATAAATTTGAATATGTTAGTAAACCGGATAATTGCTCAAGCAAGATGGTCATTAAAAACATTTTCTTTTTTGTTACCCCTTCACATTCTCTTTCTAGATACAAGCTAACATCCTCCAAAGATTCTCCAATGATGATGATGATCTTGATCTTGGATTTTCCAGTCACACCAAAGAAGAAGTGGACTATTTCTATTGAGCAAAATGGACAAACCTGACTTTGTAATTTTGTTGTGATGAGGATCAAAAGTAGTGCTATTGATTGCATACTCAACACTGTGGAACAAGGTCGGATGTGAGATGTCAGACACTGACTGCAGAATTTGTTTAGAGGGATCCTGTAACTTTGTCTCAGATTCTGAAACAAAATCCTGGATTAGCTCATGCTGCAATGATAATTATAAACCTTTAGGTCAGTCAGGAACCCCATGACTTTTACAAGCCGATCGCCTGTCTGATTATCAAGATATTCATGATTGGAAATCAAAACCAAATTTTGTGTTTGCCAAACGGTTTTCATAACACTACGCTCTATTGGGGAAAACGAGGATGGTAAAACCGGTCACTCAAAGATTTTTACTATTTTGAGGCACTTCTTGATCATTTAGATGCTCGATTTTTTTTTTGTAGGGCTTCAATACTACACCATATACCAGACACTGATAACACATAGGGCCGTCGATCTCAGATTTAACATTGTTAAACGATCCTTTTAATTACTGTGCTCTTTCTACAAGCAAAAAATGTGATTTGATTAATCTACCAGTGGCAACTGGAGGATAGTGTAACCAACATTTTCATGCTTTTAGGCACTTGTCTTACTACTGGTCTTACAAGTTGCAATTATAAAGGGCCTTTTTGTTGGATGGGGGCCCCAAAAGTAAAATTATGTCATAAAGCTCCTCCTACCAGATATATTTTTGTCTATCTACCAGACATCTGCAGAGCCACTTGATCTTTTCCTTTGTGATTTTAGGGATGTTTCTTATTTCAAGGCTAGGGTTATCTGCGATCGTGTCCAATAAGTTACATGGGCTTTTTTTTTGGGGGGGGGGGGTAGGCCTCCTGCCGATAGAATCCAATGTAACTTGTTCTTAGCACTACAGCAGTGATGGTAAGTCATGCCTGGTATAGTCGTGGGTGTGGGGGGTTGAAATTCAAATCATAGTTCAGTGGTACCCCCACTATAGTACACATGCTCTATTAATATATTGGAAAGAGAAAATTATATTTGAAACTTTATCTGTTCTTGTTGAAAATTATGCCTGTGGAAAATGATTGTTTGGAATCACTTTTCATTATTGATATACTTCAATTTCTGTATTATATTTTGTGTAAATTCTCTTTAAAAAAGTGACAATAAATATGATATTTCAACATAGCTCCTTTTCTTCCTGAGTTGTTCTGTTTTCTGCACTCTCATCCCCCCCCCCCCCCCCCCCCCCCGCTTTCTCTCTCTCTCTCTCTCTCTCTCTCTCTCTCTCTCTCTCCATTCATTCCTCTCTGTCCTCTCTTCCTCTATTTTTCAAGTAACCCCTCCACCTCTCTCTAAGCTCTACCACCTCTTAAAGTCTGACAATTTCTGCATACACATGTATATATTTAAAGAACATTTTCCTTTACAGACAAAAGTAAATTACCACCATAAATCTACACATTATCAATTTATTTCATTTTAGAAAAGGTATACACATAAAAACCCACATGGTCATAAATGCATCTCAACTTGGACGAGCTTAAATAAGGGGACATCCCTCTTGACTAAGGTCACCGCCATCAAAGGCCAAGAAAACTAAAGATTCTGGGCCCTGTTTCATAAAACTTGTTTTTAATAACAGATGCTATAATTCTATGATAAATTAGCTCTCAGCCAATCAGATGTCACGATTTCAGTAGCTTATAACAGTTATTGTATCTTGTTCTTGATAGCAAGTTTTATGAAACAGGCCCCTGGTGTAATGGGCCTTCTGATTACTATGCCCATGAGACAAGCATTTAGGCCTAGATATATAAATATTTGAAAGATTGCAAGACTGTTGGTCCACACGACCAATATCTTCAGTCTTGCAAGGTCAACTGAGCTGTACAATTGAGAAAAAAAAATTGTCATCAGGGCACCGTTTTGTGAAACTGTCACAAGTACAAGTTCACAAACATCCAATTGAAACGCGTGTAAAATTGGATAGTGTTCTGATGGGTTGACGGCGAACTTGTACTTATGACAGTTTTGTGAAAGGCTGCACTGCTTTCAAAGTTTACCAATCGCCTATACAAAATAATTTGTGTATACTGGTAGCTAGAATGTAAGAAATAAACACTTCAGTTGTCATTTTACAGGTTAACGGTTGAGGAGTATGAAGGAAATAAAGGATAACATAAAACGGCATGTATTGAACCCAAGTCCAACTTCAGTTCTGTGCACACTCTATTCTCTGCGTATGCGTACATCAACTACTCAACTGACAAGGTTCTATGCCTGCAAACTAGCTAAAATGATACATGAACAGTCGTAATAAATACTTGCTTGATTTAAATCTGTTTTGAAAAACAAATAGATGGGAATTCAGGAATATCATGATACACTCAATGAATTCATTAAATAAACATGTAACTCATTTCATTCTCAATTAAATCCATCTAAATGTTGTCCTATTTTTTTTTAAATGCAAATAAATTAATTTTACCTGTAAATGCAGAGCTACATGTATATGTAGGTGTAAGCAATAGCATGCATAAAATCAGTTAATACATAATGGCAAACATAACATCTTAGAATCATATATATGCAATTATGCATGATAATAAATTTCTTGTTAATTTCTATTCTCCAATCTTCCAAACTTCTTTTCCAAAAGTAGAAACAAATGTAATGTATGTGAGCTTGTTAAAAGAAGATGCACAAATAAATATAAATTTACTCATACAACAAATTAAAATGTTCATGTTTAAATTTGAATCGACCTCACATTGAATTCATTCTGGCAACATTTGCTCCAAACTTTATCTCTTTCAAGACTTGCAACGTCAGGGCTGCAATTGAATTGAAGGCTGAGTTAAGGGCTCAGTAAATGCCTAGAGTTTGGTCAAGTGTTGAAGACAGGGATATGATTATTGCAGGAAAGTGAATAAAGAGACAAAAAGAGAAAGAAGAAAGGGAGAGGGGAGACAGAATAACAAGAAGATAGTGCAACCATCTCCCTCATTCTACATCCATCCATCATCCTTGCCCCATCAAAAACTGGACCCTTCTTACGTCACTCATAACAAACCTCTGATCTCGTGAAACACAATGGTTTATCCATATTGCTTCCTCACTTTTCAAAAGACGGATGAAATGTCAAGTTTTTGTTCCACCCTGGTATCTATTTTGAATGACACCGCTCAAGGAAACTGATAGCAATCAGGATCAGTCTACGTACTCTAGGATCAGGACACCATGTTTTCATTACCAGGGGTAATACTTCCTTTGGACTGAAGACAGAGGTTTCTCTCTCTAGGGTATTGTGTCAGCAAAGATAGACACAATTCTTTCCATCATTTGTCTAAGATTGAAGTTTCTGTCAGATTTTGATTTCACATCATCATGACCCATCTTCAAGGGTGCTCAGTTCTTCTTCAAAGGCGTCTTTCCTCGAAATCTTCTCCAGTTGCTCTTTGGAAGGTTGTGCTACTTCTCCGCTGGCTATCTTGGCTTCCAGCTCCTCAATCTGCCGGATCTTCTTCTTAAGGTTCTTAATCCTCTTCTGCGGATCCTGCACGGCTGGTGCGGACTCCGCGCCCCCGCTCACGCTGACCTCCTGAACCCCCTTCCTAAGCTGTTCTACGTCACCATTTTGAACTTGAGCTGATTCTCCCTCATCCTGCTTTTCTTTACGTTTCTGGCGCCGTTTCTCGTTCTTCTTGGAAGCCTTCGAGAGCTGCTGTTTGGATTCTTCTACATGTACCTTTGCGGGAGCTGGATCTTCATAGACTCCTGGTGGAAGCCTGGGTTTACTGCTGACCCACTGCTTGCCTTTGCTCTCATACCTGTGAGGAAGATTTTTTTAAAGGCATCGTTTAACAATGTTAAATCTGAGATGCACGGCCCTACGTGTTATCAGTGTCTGTGATATGGTGTTTTATTGAAGCCCTAAAAAATTGCGCTTCAAAACGATCAAGAAGTGCCTCAAAAGAGTAAAAACCTTTGAGTGACCAGTTTTACCATACTCGTTTTCCCCAATAGACTGTAGTGTTATGAAAACCGTTTGGCAAACGCAAAATTTGATTTTGATTTTCAATCATAAAATAATATCTTGATAATCAGAAATGCGATTGGCTTGTAAAAGTCATAGGATACATGTATGACCTAAAGGTATACATGTATAATTATGATTGCAGCATGAGCTAAATCTAGGATGTTTTAAAGAAGAATCTGAGGCAAAGTAACCCAATCCCTTTAAAGAGTCAGACATTGTATTGAGTGGGCTTCTAAGAATTACAGAGAAACCGGCAGATATAAACTGCTCAAGCGAGACAGAAAATACAGACACCTCAAGGAATACATGAAATACAGTCTTATTAAAACCTTGGTCACAAATGCCATTACGAACTGCTACAAGCGCCGTACAAACAATTTTCAGACCATGTCAACTCGGGAACACCATGGAAAAACAGGGAGATTCGTACGAAAACATTGTTCGTATGAACCTGTGTGACCATAGCTTTAGCAGACGGTCTTTATGTACAGGTTACTTTAGTAAGGGTTTCAGAAAGAAAGATTGTTCAAGAGAAGTTTAAAAAAACCGGTGGTCTTTATAGATAGACCACGTTCAAAGAGTATATGTAGCAGCCACCTGTATAGGGAGACCCCATTTATACATGTACATGTAGCTTCTCTTGAGAATTGTTTCCGATTGAAACATGTATTACAAGAACTTGTACATTAAGACCACCTGCTCCTAAAGACCCCTTTTCATGTCTCCCTCGACTGGTCGTTATATACAGGTTTCACTGTACAATTTTTAATGTTTCTTGAGAGCTACATGTAAGTTAGCAGTCTCTTAGCAGATTAACAAGTTAACAAGGTATTCTAGTAAACAAAGATTGAAGAAATAAAAACATGACTACCGTACAATTGAAGTGATTACTGAGAGCTATGTCACAGAGAGGACTATTTATGTCCATCTGGGCAGAATCTCACAAATCCGTCATAAGTACAAGTTCGCCGACATCCCATTGAAACACATGTTAAACATTTCAATAGGATGTCGTTGGACTGGTACTAATGACGGTTTCGTGAGACGCTGCCCAGAATAACAGAGCCCCTCGAGTTCATTGTATACTTACAGTGGAACCTCTTCCTGGGGTACATATCCAGGTCTGACCCTCCTTGGTTTCCTCCATGTGCCATCAGGTCTTTGGGTAGCTGGCAGGTACTGACCTGTAAAGGAACAGAAAGGGAACAAGCTTTATTAGGCTGAGGCAAGAGGACTAGTTCACGCACACTCGCAAGGTTTCTCAAGGCACACGCACTGCATTTGCTCAATTTAGCTAACTCCCTGCTCACAAGCCTTTTACACTAATCGCTATTATCATAATAAAGTAAGTATCAAATTGGGAACGCAAAAACATTGCACGTGTATTTGCCACCTGTATTTGCACATATTTGGGTGTATTTGCATATCAGGCAAAACCAACATTGTAAACTCTCATAGGACGTCAGTGTTTTTGTAATGTAAATTGCATGTTAGCTCATTATCATCAAGAACATTATCATCTTCGGTCAATTGAAGGAGACGAAGAAGAAGAACATATGGACGGAGGAACTTCCAAGGAAGGTAAGCAAATCGATCTCACTCTATTATTACATTTACATCTTTTGAGTCAAATTCTTGACCTTTTCAAAGTGCTTTGTATAAGAAAGAAGAGTCCACAGGCAAACTCTGAAGCCACGATGCAAAATAACATGTTGGACGGGTTCAGACGCATTTATGTTTTGTTTACATGCCTCTTCACGCAGGGGTATGGATGCCAATTAGGATATCATATTTTACATTATTACCTAGCCCTTAATTAAGGCTATTTCATGAGAAGGAAGACGAGTCCCCTAGCTAACTTGGCGAAGAAAGTGTGCAAGGTTTGTTGGGTGCGGGAAGGGGCGATTAACAGTAGGGGTGCTGGTCCGAGAATGAGGTTCGTCCGCATGACAAATCGCCTCCTAAAAAATAAGGATCATCTTTTTTCTTCGGCGCTCTGCGGGTTTTGGGTTACCGATCCACGCGCTGGCGATGCGATAAGACGGATTTCACGTAATAAAATATCCTCATTCACTGTCTACTTTTATGGGTCGTCCGTCTTCCCAAGGATTTATCGCTCATACTCATAGTCATAACGTGCAAAGTCAATGTAAAATGCGTCAAGAAAATTGTTGTAGAACTTTATTTTCGCATCGCCAATGCGCGGATCAGAAATCAAAATCTTCAGCGAAAATGCGGGCGATCCTTATTAATATTATTGCAGACAAAGTCAAGTGTTTATGAAGACGATCTTCCTTTGTGCGGATGATCCTTATTCTCGGACCAGCGCCCCTACTGATTTAGAATTAGCATTTGAGATGTTGGGTATGGGCGCCATGCCATGATGAATAGGTGATATCAATGTCATATTTCATATTTTCTTCAATTCTACGGCAAGAGTTGTGAATTCTAACACATAGATCTAGTACAACACAAAACATAACACAAAAAGGAATATGTTGGACCACACTGAAAAACTTTTCCCATTCATTCATGCAAATTGCAATGGTAGTGTCGCTTAAATCTACTGAATTAATCACAAATTGATTGAATTGAAAGTATACTCCCAGTTTAAATACTTAAATGTGAGTCTGTATGTAACAGTGATTTTTTTTTTTAAACTAATACTCGCCTGTTTCATCTGTTTCAAGGTTTTCTGTTGAAGCGGACGCCATCTCTCCTCTGATTTTCTCGCTCTCAATGTTCAGCCAAAGTCAGGTCTAGCGCCAACTAACGGCCACTTTTTTGTTATTCCTACTGTGTTTAGATGTGAATGTAAAATCATATTCATGATAATATTAACATGCAGATTATTCTATGTATTGATTTTGTTATTGTTTGTGAAAAGCAATGGAGAAAATGAAATATCATTGGAAAGAGAGAGAAAAAGGAAAAAAAACTTGTCAAATATGGTCTAGCGCTATCTTTTGTTTAAAACATTATAGGAATATCTTCAACACTCATTGCCGTTGGTCTGCTGTTACAATATTTTAAAGTCGTAAACCGATGCAACTTTTAAGTTCTCAAAAGTTTGGTTTAGTTATTGCGTAGTATATTGTATGTAATATTTATACCATGTATACATGAATTATATAGGTTCACATTTAGTTTATATTGAATAAACTTGTGATCAAACGAGTTGTATTTCATATCCATTTGAGTTGTCCATATAATGCATCCCATGAAGAAAAAAGAGATTACAAGGACAAAATATGAGGCAAATAGTTTTTTTTAATATATTTTTTTTAATGCCTTTTTATGTTCATGCCTTTTTCATGCATGCATGTTTCATGCTTTATTTGATGTAAATAGTAAAAGCTCTTTTGTATTATTTAGCTGTGAATGTGAAATCATATTCTATATAATAATATTAACATGCAGATTATTTTATGTATTGATTTTGTTACTGTTTGTTATTATACTTTTTGTTATTGTTTGTGAAAAGCAATGGAGAAAATACCATTGAAAAAAAAAAATGCACTACTTGACGACCGCTTCGCGAAACGCTTAAATGTTTTCGGATAGGGTCTGAAGGGTGATTCGTGAAGAGCATGTGCAAGTCCTATAGGGAAGAAATAATATAAACACCCCATCACTCAGTGTTTAATTCAAATTATCTTATACAATATATCATTTCTTCCTCTCTCGCACGTCACTCTGATGTTAGAGGCAATTAAATTTTGTTATTTATCTACCGGGTTACCTATATAAGCTCTACTCTAGCTCATTCGTTCTTTTTTGTTCTGTCATCACAGTCTCTCTTCCCCCCCCCCCCCCCCCCCCCCTCTCTCTCTCTCTCTCCCTTTTTTCTTCTCCTCCCCATTTCTATGACATACCTCTCTCTGGCTGTCTTTCTCACCCCTCTTGCTCCCTAATTTTTCTCGATCTCAATCTCTCCGTTCTCTCTCTTTTCCCCTTCATATATCCCCTCACTCCCTCTCACTCGCTCTCTCTCTCTCTAAATATCTAGCTCTCTCTTAATTGAGAGTTCATCAGTTCAGTATCCAGATGAATACATTATTTCAACAAGTGAAAGAATATTTCAGCTTTGACACCCTGATCATTCTTTGGTGAGGCATTTATCTCTTTTGCCACTCTCAACCTATATTTAGTAATGACTGGTACATAGGCTACTGGCCGGGAGAAAGTTATTGGATGACCCTGAGCTTTATAGTGAGTCTGCAAGCCTTTAGCCGGATTACTAAATAGTTTTATCTATGCACCTGTGAATAGGGAAATATATTATTGAACAATATATGTAAATATTAACTTGGCAGTATACTGACAGGAGCAGAAATCAAACATGAATACAACAAACTTTTTTTTTCTATCAAGAAAGCAAGTTTATTTGTATAAGAGTTGTTGAAAACAGAAAAAATGACTCCATACAAATCTTGATTATTAGACTTTTTTTTGTCTCATGACATCAATGTAGACACAATCATCCATCCATTATATCTTAACAGCTAAAATTACGTCTCAAAATAGCAATCACAAAATAATATTTCTTGATTAAAAAGCGTGGTATAATTTCATATGAAAATGTCAAAACAAAACATGTTTCTGCTGTACTATGCGAGTATAAGGAGGAGCCCAATTTTCTGTCTGCAAATTTTGAAAATTGATTCTTGATTAAAGCTGATGAAATGGTGATAATCAAAAAGTGATTTTACAGGGAAAACCAGGAATAGAGAAGATTGCAATTTATAAAAAATCACTATACTGTAGTATCACAATTGTTTTGTGGCTGCAACTAAATGGCTAAGACAAGTACAAACTGTACACGTAACAAACAGAAGGAAAACAAAATTGTTTTTGTTTTCATTACAAAGAGATTAAACCGGTACTTTAATACAAAAGACAAAGGTCAAAAGGAAAAACTTTTGCCTTAAATCAGTGGAGTTGGTAGTCATTTTCCATGTGCATTACTAGGTCACAATTCACTGACATCAGACTTGGTATATACTATATAGAAGTATCATTAATGGGAGTACAAGTCTCGCACACTAAGATATAGGCAAGGTTCATTCCAAAATTTCATTTCTTACAAATAACATCTCGTATGCAAAGAAGTTACAGACGAACTATATATTGTCAAGGTCATAAAGTGAAGAACACAAATTGATGTGCACATATCTCTTTTGTACTGGGACAAATAAATTGATACTCTGATTAACTAGATCTATTCCTCAGATGACATAGAGGGACTACCGTAGTTTGATGGATAAACAGTAATAGATTATAATGATACTAACAACATTTCCAGAGTTATTTGTATTGGGGAATTGGCTAATTATATCTAATCACATGAAATAATTTTTTCCAAGAATCGATTTTGGGCTGTGATTGTACAACTAATGCTATATTTTTCATCTAAAGCCTAGCAGTGATGTTGGAGATGAGGTCATTGATCTTAGTTCCAACACTCTAATAATTTTTCAAACTGCAAATATATCTACCACATCATATTTTAAAAACCTCTACACTTTAATAATCTTCCATTACAATCAATTTTACAGATCACTTACATTCACATACACATATAAAAGATAGTACACATCTAACAAACGAGACAAATAAATAGGATTTCAAAGAAATTTCTATCATAGTATTGATCTATATAGCATAAACATTTTCATCTCTTATAAACCATCAACTTTATGTACAAAATATTATATCCACGTCACATGCTCAAGAAAATCACCATTATAAAACAAAATTTACATCTTTGCATGTACTCTTACGAAAGAAACTTGACATTTATGAAGCAATATATTCGATTTTCATATCACATACATCAAGTCACCAGTATGGTGATGTTGATATGTCCATGTACATGTATTCATGTAATACGCTCTACAGAGTGACATTCATCTCAAATCAAAGTACAGGTACAATTTGTGAGATTTAGATTCCTTGTATGCGTACATCGTAGGTTATGCTTAAAATCACTGATAATAAAATTCACTTTGTTATTTATTCTCTCATTTAAGCATATTTCTACTTACATAGTTTCAATAATCTGCATCCGAAAAAAGTTGCAGAAGTATATATTTCAACAAAAAACCCTACACTTTCGAAATCCATGATTATATATACATTACATACAAACTTCAAATTTGGCACCATGTCATGAAATCATCTAGTAAGAACCAGAACGGCATTAACTAACATTTAGAGGTATGGGGATGTAAACATTGTTGATCTTGGTCTATTCTGCACATTGATGATCACTGTACTCTGTGTCTTTGCCAGAATCAACGGATGAAGGTCTTACTTTTTAGACATCTATCATCCAAAGATGTTGTATTGCCCTTTGCAACCGACCCAAAAATCTTGAAAAGTTTTTTTTTTTTTTACTGTTTTTTAGGAAAAAAATGTAGTAAAGCATTCCCAAAGAGGAAGATAAAAAAAAAAGTTAAAAAAAAAAAAAATTCTGACCGACCGACCCATGTTTTGGCACCTAAAGAGCAATACAACATCTTCTCTTTTTTTAGGCCTCACCAAAATACAGGTATACATTGTCAAGTTAAAGCCCTTCTGGTTCTTAGGAGACATTGCAGAAAATAAAACATAAACAGTATGGGCTTGCCACGTATCTCTGATCAGTATCCCAAACAGTAGCTATATCTCAGAATCTGTCGACGTGTAAAAGATACTAGATATCAATTAATAAGGAGCCTTGAGGACCAACATTTTTGGACCCAATATCTTTTCTACATAGACAACATTTTACAGTCATAGTAAGTGTTATGTTACCCATATCAGTGATTGTCTGTCAGAGCCAGAGAAGCGCCTCGTCTGTATAAAATGATACAAGTTATTGCCCTTCTGCCTCTAGCCAATACAGTATGTAAATTGCCTTGAACCGGTGGCAACCTTAGAATGTGCGCAGAAGGAATGATGTTAAGCAACAAAAGAAAACATTTGACAAGAAGAAATATATTTGCCACCAACATCCCAGTTTAAAAAATTCTGGTTTGAGCCACCAGAAACTTTAATGTTATAGATACATATCCCACTGCTGCCACCATTTAAATGTTTTTTCAGTCATAACATGTGAAAACCATCTTTTAAAAAAGGTGCATGAAAATACCATGTTAAATATAAAGATCACTGACAGCTGGTAAAATACTAGCATAAATTTAATTGCATAAGACATCTTTGGTGAGCTTTTGTTTTAATTGTGAACTCCTAAGTTTTAGTTATAAACAGTCTCTGTAAGTAACTTTCTCAAGTACAATAACAGTATTTTAGTCCAGTACTATCTACTTTAACACCTCTACAGAAAACATATACTAACACACTGTACTAAAGACCTTCTTCTTCTTTCCCCACTAGTGAAAAATGAGTGTTTATAAGAAGTTAACATTGCTACTCTAGCAATATGCAATCCATAATACACAGTTAAAAAAGAAAATTTGGCATGTAAATGTATGGAAAAATATTTGAACACTTTTATAAAATATTACAGCCGGTAACTGTTCTGTGTTTTTTTCTCACTTGTACCCAAACATACCCTTTATGTTGGTCAGAAGTACAGAAGTATACCCGCACATCCACTGCTCTTCCTGTTTGGGTACCACCAATGCAAATTGACAATGCTGTACAAAACAGACTTGAACCATTCCATGGTCGAGTAGGAATGAGAATGCACCTCTACCAAAACAAAATTGGTTCGTGGGCATGGGTATTCTAGAGATTTATAAATAGGGATACAAATAGGACAAAATCTATGCAGGTACTTTAACGCCCTTGTCTTACTGTTGTTTCTAATGGCAAGTTCAATCTACTTTTAAACAATTGTTTCTACAGCAAGATAATGTTTATCATCATTATTATGAAATGGTTCATCCAAGATGCTATCAAATGTATTGCAAATAACGATTTTAACCACAGTTGGCTAAATTTACAAATTTGTTGATGATGTGTTGATACATTTCTTGGAAGGTCCACTCGATCTTTCTGCATGCGTTGTACCTTTTGTTAGATACTGAGACACATATTATACTTTCTCCCTTCAATTAAGCAATAGTATCAGTATTCAAATTAAGTCACAGATGTATATCAATCAAACACCAGAAAAGCACCAGAAAACAACACACCTTGGAGAATGCAGACACTATACTACGCTTGTACATTACAAAGAACTGAACACACATCTAAAAATCTTCTGATATTGCTAGTTTTGGAAGAACAAGAAAAGTGGAAAGGTTTGTTATTCTTTAGCTGCAAGTCCTTTCATCATTGGTAAATCGGAGCCGTCTAATTCACCGGTAGGAGCCATGGGAGGTTTGATGGGCATAGGATTTGCATTTTCAATTTCATCCATCCAGTCCTTGCGAGTCTTTCTTTTGAAGAAGCCACACTTAAGAATTAAAGAGGAATAAAACAGAGAAGTGATGGTTAACTGTCTGGTGAAAATGCTACATGAATTATACAAAAAACGAAATATCAATATTGCTATCATGATTATCAGCATCACTGGAGTCAAACTAATCATCATCATCACTGTCATGGTCATCTTCATAACAATCGACATCATTATGAACACCACCACCATAATCAACGGCATCATTATCCATGTCATCTTCATAACAATCAACATCATCATTATCATCACCGCAATAATCATCGGCATCAATTACAATGTCATCTTCATAACAATCAAAATCATCATTATCATCACCGCAATAATCATCGGCATCAATTACAATGTCATCTTCATAACAATCAAAATCATCATTATCATCACCACCATAATGATGAGCATCATTATCAATGTCATCACTTTCATAAACATTGTCACAACTACTGCCATCATCATTATCACCACCATCACATATACAACCATCATTACCAACATCATCATCATCATCATCATCACTATCATCTTCATCATTACCATCAATCATTGCTAATACCATCATCATCACCACCATCACCAACATTATCATCTTTATGATCATAAGTACCATTACCATTATTCTAGCTTCATTATAGCTTCATCTAGCTTAGTCATTACCATCATTATCATCACCATCATTATCATCACCATCACCACCACCTTTGCCATCATTATCATCATCATCACTATCGCAATCACCATGACCATCACCTCGCCTTCAGCATCACTATTACCATTACCATCACCACCACCATCATCATCATCATCATCATCATCTTCATCACCACCATCATCATCATCATCATCATCATCATCATCATCATCATCATTACCATCACCACCACCATCATCATCATCATCATGTATTTTTACCTTCCATAATAACAGTATGAGGAGGAAGAGTAGGAGAAGCCCTCCCAGGATGCTGAGTATGATAACCCAGATAGGCACTTTGCCAGCACCTGCCATGTCTGTATACATCTTGATAGGGAGCTGTAATGTAAGAGGCAACAAACATTTATCATCTGAATTAATGCAGAATTCTCAGTTTTGGGGAAGTCAAACTTTCACTAAACTTAAAAAAAAAGAATGTGTATGGAGACAGAGGATGAGAAATAAACTGAACATTTGGATAAAGAGCAAAATAAATTTAATCAATATATTAATAACATAACAATTATATAAATTTCATGAAATGTCTTCTTCTTCATCATCATCTGTTTTCTGCTTTTCTTTTTTCTCTTCTCTTTCATCTTTTCCTTTGTCTTCTTCTTTCCTTTTCAAGCATCTTCTACTTTTCTCTTCAAACTTCTTTCCCTGGCACTCCTTCCTCCCTCTTTTTCATCCTTTTTCTCTTTTTTACCCCTCTTCTTCCACATCCTAGTTACTCTTCTCTCAACCATGCATTCATCACCTAGCAACCGCATCTTCCCTGCATCCTTACCTGTATCATGTCTGGGTAAACATCCTCTCCTTGCCCGTGATTTCCATTATCCATCTGAGTGACCAGTTGAGCTTCTGTCAGAATCTCCACATAGCCAAGCTCCCTCTGTCAATAGAGAAGTTAGCAACTGTTATCAATGACCCATTTGTAAGTAATTTTCTTATCAAGTTGAGGTGTCGTGGTCTAGTGGACATGTCACCGGGCATTGGATCACATGGTTTGCGGTTTGAGTCTTACCGTATTTGCCGGCGATAAGGCCGTAGCGCCGTATAGGCCGCACCCCCGATTTTGACATTAAAAAAAAAAAAAAAAAAAGAGAGAAGGAAAAAAAAATATATATATTTTGCTGAAGTCGGGATTCGATCTCTTGCGTACAAATGTTGATGTGACTAAATCACCGCCTTAAACCGTGCGGCCATCCCGCGCTGATACCATACACTGCTGTTTTCTGTGATGTAGTCATTGAAATGGATTGAAAATGGCGACTTCGCGTGCTGGATGCTTCGCGGCGGCTCCGTTAAACGAGCCCTTCTTTTACTTTTGCAATGCATTGGCACGAACTTAGATCAAAATCTATCGGCAGATGTTGTTTTTGGAAGTTTATTTTCGTCTTCATGTCAACAATGCAAGATAAAATTTTGGGTAAGATGTGTGGAAATGTATAGTTGTTGTACCGTTCGTAGATCTAGTCCCATATGTACAAATTCGTGCTGGTTTTGACTTCTTTTTTTTTTTTTTTTCTGTTTCGCCGTAAAGGCCGCACCCCGACTTTTTGATATTTTCTCTTCCAAAAATACTGCGGCCTTTAGGCCGGCAAATACGGTATTCTTTTTTTTACTTATTTAAATCAGGGGTGATAGTGAGCACTAAAAAAAATAAGAGTTTTTTTCCCTCAACCACGCCTCCCTCGAGTAAAAGAAAAGGAGAGGATTCGGGGGGGGGGGGGAATGGCATCTAACAACATTCCCCCCTTTTGATTTAGAAAATTGGGAAAAGGAGTGTGGGGTCTGGCATAAGTGCTTTTCAAGAACCCACTGTTATTAGTAGAAGTATTACTTCATTAAAAATTATGTAACCCTCAGTTCTTCTTCTTTTCTAAACTCTCTTGCTGTTTTTCACAATTTCGGCTGATTTAACAGCATGCAATTTGAATATCAAAAAAATCACTGTTTCCTCCAGTGATTATTTTCTAGATGCTATGTTGCTATACTCTACACCTGGTAACAATTTTAGAACATGGAAGTTTGAGTGTCAAGTACGTAGCTCCTTAACTTTCAAAAGGGCATAAGTGATTTCTATATCAAATACAACGTTTTAAACATTGAAAACAATGAGTGACACACGATGGCTCAGTGGTAGAGCAGTGGTCTCGAAACCATTAGGTCCTGGATTGGAGAAAAAAATTGTGGTATAGTGCCCTTTCGTAAGGCACTAATCCTCATTACCAAGTTCCTCGGAGAGGACTTGAAGCCGTCTGTCCCTTTTTGCTTACTTACAAGCATACATGCTTTCATAGAAATTATTGTTGAAATACAAACAAAGAAACCGAACTAAACCAACCAAAGTTAGGGTGTTCTTACCGTGATCAGGGTGTCTTGCCACTGAATGGCTTCTATTTTGACCTGCAGGATATGACGGGCTTGAAGTGGGTTGATGAAACAGGTCAATGCTACACACTTGGCCTTGGTGCATCCCTGAATCAACAAAAAGAGAGCAAAATTGTAATGGCAATCAGAATTTTGAAAAGAATATACAAAATGTCCTGTGAAGAAAGGGTTTTTCCTAAGTGATGTTTCTCATCATCTAAATATCATTGAAATATCATAGTTGAGAGCCAGAAGGGCATTAATTCATATATATTATACAGGTTTAATGCACTTTTATCTAGTTGGCCTTAAGCCCAAGTTGAAAATGCCTTCCTTCGACAACATGGCAAGCAGTGATACTACAAGGATTTTAAAGTTTGAGCTAAGCTGAGTGCAAGGAACTGAAAATCGCTCATTTTCGTGATTTGTGTATGAAACATATGAAATATAATTTTTCCAAAAAAGAGATAAAACATTGGTTACGGATGAATAAATGAATGAATGAATGAATGGATGAATAACAATAATATGGTTATTAATATAGCACCGGTATCCGTCAGGGTCTGATGCTCATGGCGCTTTACAAATATTTCGATGGTCGTAGCCAAGCTGCCAAAGTAACTACCGGTAGCGCTCAAGCATATGAATACATTAATTAATGAATGGATGAGTGCCTGAATGGCTGAATAAATTAATTAATGAATGTATGAATAAATGAATGAATGAATAATTTAATGAAAAATGAATAAATGAATGAACGATGAATGAATGAATGAAAAATGAATAATGAATAAATGAATGAACGATGAATGAATGAATGAAAATGTCTTCAATCTTTTTGTTAGGGTGGCAGCGGTGGGATATCAACCAACATTTGACGCAAGAATGATTTCTCTCAATCCCTGAGAAGCAAATTGGCAATACTATAATAATAATAATAATAGTGGGTTCTTGTATAACGCTCATGCACAGGATTCAATCGAGCCCTCAACAACTGTCAGGAGCCTTGGTGTGGTGTTAGATTCTTCACTGAGAATGAATCACCATGTGTCATCACTTTCTAGTATGCTCCACTTCCATCTATCTAATATTGCTCGGATCAGACCCTACCTAGACAAGTCCGCGTGTGAGCATGCTGTACGTGCTCTCGTCACATCTAGGACTGATTATTCCAATTCTCTTCTATGTAATATTTCTATGTCAAATATCAATCGCCTGCAACGAGCTCAGAACCGAGCAGCAAAGTTGGTGTTCCGCGCTAAGAAGCATGACCATGCCTCTCCCTTCCTTCGTCAGCTCCATTGGCTTCCAATAGAAAAGCGAATCACATACAAAATTCTCACAATGACCTACAAGTGCATCCATAAAATGGCTCCCTCCTATCTCCAAAACCTTCTCTCATTACATCAACCAGGAAGGCATGGTCTGAGATCTGGCAACGACCCAACCTTGCTCTCGGTTCCCAGGAGTCGTACACGCTTTGGGGATCGATCTTTTTCTGTTTCCACACCACGTCTCTGGAACAATCTCCCTCAGGCTGTACGATCTTCTCCTTCTCTCGCTATCTTTCAACGTTCCTTGAAAACCTTTCTCTTTAATAGTCGAATTTATATATTTTTGTGTACGTAATTTTATTGTTTGCTATAATGTTGTAAAGCGCTGTGATACACATGTATGTCTGTAAGAGCGCTATATAAATGCCAATATTATTATTATTATTATTAATCCAATCTAGGAATTTATTAAAGCCAATATATAGTTGCCTAATCAATGGCGCTGATGAGACTGAAAAACTACACAAAATGTCTGTTCATGATTCTAACTGGGAAAGACAAAAAATCAGTGACTAATTATTGTAAGCAATCTGAAATAGGTATGTCTTTAGTTGAGTTCTGAAAGTGGATAACTGGTGACTTGACCGAAGGATTTGGGGGAAGACCATTCCACAATCTTGATGCACAGGCAGTAAATGATCGCTCACCTAGAAGAGAGCGTCTTTGAGGACTCTCTCAAGCAGATACTTACCTGCAGGTTGCAAATTAGTTCGAGGATTGTAAATAGTCAACAATTCTGAAATGTACACGGGTGTATCCATGCATTGCCTTCCATGTTAATAAAATAATTTTGTTTTTGATTCCCTGTTTTACAGGAAGTCAGTGTAGTGCAATAAGTGTAGAGGTAATATGGATGATAATCATCAACTCACCAGATTCTGCGTGCCCTCTGCAGGACCATAGATGGGGGTTACGTCTTCCTCAGGTGCAGGCTGAAAACTGAGAGAGTCTTCCTTATATTTCTCCATCAGCCTTCGATTCTGGAGTTCAAGGATGTCTGCAATGTTGCAGGATCCAGTCCCTTCGCTCTGTTGAAGTGAAATCATTAATAAAATGTAATTACAAAATTTCGAATAATTTCAAGCAACCACCTGTCTATTCACACAGCAATTTTGTTTTCCCTTCAAAAGTGTGTCCCGTTAAAACTTACGTTACCCGGTAAACAAATTTGTACATAAAGACCACTTTTTTTGTCTCCCCTGAGCAGTCTTTATGTAGAGGTTTCACTGTACATACCTATTATTTGTTAAATAAAAGAGAAACCTGTAATAAGCTGTAGAGCCTGGCACACAAATAATGCAAGGTACTTTTCATAGTTCCATGATTCCCCATCGAACACCAAAAATACAGTCAGTTGTATTCAGTCGGGGTGCACGGACCATTTACCATACTTAAAATTCAAGTGTTATTGTTTTCATTATTGTTGTTGTTGGGAAACTTTATTATGTGTGCACAATCAGGATTGGCAAGAGAGGGTAATCTAAAATCAAATATATCAGTCTAAGGAAGAAAATCTGTCAGATGAAGATTTTACATGATTATCACAAGTCATTCCATGGATGGAGTTCTCTGGTAAAATTCTCTTTTCTATATGAATGTAACCCTTCTCCTTCTCTCTCTCTCTCTCTCTCTCTCTCTCTCTATCCCTCTCTCTCTCTCCCTCTCTCTCTCTCTCTCTCTCTCTCTCTCTCTCTCTCTCCACACACAACATTACTTACGTCCGTTACTGAGATGCTCTTGATGAAGACAAGCCAATCTCCGTTGATCATACGCCATGGGATGTTGAGAGTTAGGATAGATTGGAATGGAAGCAGACCAGCACCCTCATTGGTGATCTGAAAGAAAATGAGAAGAAAAAAACCTACAACATTTTTAGTCGATGATACATTGATTGACTGATTGGTAGATTGATGAATTGATGAATCGATTGGTCGGTTGGTCAGTCGGTCGGTCGGTCGGTCGGTCGGTCGGTCGGTCAGTCGGTTTATTCATTCATTCATTCATTCATTCATCAATGGAACATACATATCACATTGGGAGCACATATATAAATATATTTGCATGCTTTTTCAGGAAAATACGACTGTTCCCCCATTCAAATCTAATCAGGAATTTATAGAAGTGGGCCTTGTTTGATTTTATTCATCATGACTAGTTTGCCAATAAAAACTACCGTATGTTATAAGCAACCGTAACATTCAATACCAGTATTTATAACTTATTCTTTGTATGATCTATCACACACTTTCACAAATCCATTTCTCTGATTTTCTGCATCTCTGCAGACCAACTTTGTTTGGTGAAACCTGATCACCTACATAGAAAGACTACCAACGCAGCATTTCACCAATCCGTTGTAAGTACAAGTTTGCAGACAATCCATTGAATTGCATTTAAATCTAACGCTTGTTTTAAAGGGATGTTGGCGAACTTGTACTTATGATGGTTTCGTAAAGCGATGTCCAGGATACAAAGACACTGTTTCCTGCTTCCCGAGAAGTATTCATTATCTATGGTATGAGGAGGCGAAATAGCTCAGTTGGTAAAGCAGAGGTCTCGCGACCCAGGTTCGAACCAAGGAGATGCGCTAGTGCCCTTTGGTAAGGCATTAATCCACATTACCAGGTCTCTCGGAGAGGACCTAAAGCCGTCAGTCCTCTGGTTCCTTACTAACAAGCATTTATGCTTTCTTAGCAGTCGGGTAAAATAACCACCACCACTACTACTACTACTACTATGTAACCTGTAGGTAACAACCACCTGCTTATAAATGAAGACAACATTTCTTGTCCCCCTTGAGTGGTCTCCATATACCGGTACCACAGCTAGATTTCCCATCAAACTTACCTGGTAGGAAAGCGTAAATGGGGTTCCAATGAAGGAGTCGTTGAAGTCGGGTGAGGTTGGATCAACGAACGCCATGTTAACTGCAGCCTCGAGTGATTGCTGTGCTGAGGCAGCATCTGCGTAGTTTGAGCTGTTACTGATGTAGTACACACTTTCAGGATCGACGAACCTGTAAGGTTAAAGGGATCCGGTAAAAATCCTTGATTTAGTTCATGCTGCAATCATAATTATAAACCTTTAGGTGAGTCAGGGACCCCATGAGTTTTACAAGCCGATCGCCAGTCTGATTATCAAGATATTTATGATTGAAAATAGAAATCAAATTTTGCGTTTGCCAAACGGTTTTCATAACAATACAGTCTATTTAGGAAAACGAGTATGGTAAAACCGGTCACTCAAGGTTTTTACTTTTTTGAGGCATTTTGAAGCGTAAGTTTTTAGGGCTTCAATAAAACACCATATCACAGACACTGGTAACACGTAGGGCCGTGCATCTCAGATTTAACATTCTTAAACGATCCCTTTAACATGGAGAGTGTCAATTATTTCTCCTCAAGATAGTAGCTACTTTCACCGTTGTATTCTTTCATAAAAATATCAGAGATGTTTAAAGTAATACATATTGCATTTTGTCTTTTCACACAGTATACCATCAAAAATGTTTATATTAATGATGATGATGATGATAATAGTGATGATGACAATAAAGGTAATGATGATGGCAGCAACAAGAACATTAGACATTACACCAGCGATAATATCACACTAAAATTATATTGCACCATATAAACATTTGCCTTTTCATAGACGCAAGAATCACTATTACTATCTTGCCAAGAGAAGTTGATGCTGAGGCAGGGATTCAAACCATGTACCTCATGATCAACAGTCCAAAGTTTTATCTATCAACATTTCATCACCCTGCACTTGTGGAAGAAGCATTTTTTTTTAAATCAAATTCATATGTTTCACAAAGACTAAGATCGACTTTAAGTTGGTTTTAACTATATGGCAGGCCGTTTATGTAACTGTTTGCTCTCACCATTTACTGGCATTGGTCTCTCAAGGGACGTACAAATCATGATCACAAATCTATAACCTATTATTGAAGGTAAAAATATTATCTAAAGATCATAATGGTGAGAGCTAACAGTGGCATGAATGGCCTGCCGCAGTTAAGTTCAACTTAAAGTCGATCTTAGTCTTTGTGAAACAATCCCCTGGACTACTTACCCTAAAATGCCCACATCAGCCTCGACGACCAAATTGTATGCCACTAGCATGGAATTGTCCGGGAGACTCTCGGGTGTCTGCAGGCTGCTCGTACTGGCTATCACTTCTACGTTGATGTTTCGATCAGGGACATAGATCAGACCCCCAATGTCGAAGCGAAGACGGAGGGTACTCTGATGGAGCAAAAAAGAGGAGATAACAGATCTTTTTTATAATGGAGATGTTATAGTCTTGTGGAATTGTGATTTTAGCCATTTAACTAACATTTTTTTTTATCAAGGAATATCAAGGAATCAATCAACAATAATTGATATTTGACCAAATTTGATATTTAGAAGGCCTGTGATAATTACCAGTAGTAAGAATTATTGAGAGCTGCTTTATGTTATAATGAAAAGTGTATCAATAAATGTAAGAAAGCTCACAAATGTTGTTAACATGGTTATTTAGTAAAATTAGAATCCATAAAATGTTAAATGTCAGGTATGAATGAAATTCTGCCAGTAATATCTGATCAGAGTCATATTTCATACATATCTTATCTTAAAGGGAAAGTCCACCCTGATATTAAAAAGGGTTTAATAGAAGCAAAAAATGAGAGAAACAGGTCAGTGAAACGTATCTATAGGCCTGTCTTCATCAGCTCGAGATTGCCAAATAGCCCGCTATTTCTGATTTGGGAAATAATCCTGAAGTTACAAATTGCGTCTTCATCAGCTCAAGACTCGACCTCGAAACTCGAGTTCGGGCTGGTGAAAACGCATCAGACAAATAGCGGGATATTTTGCCAAATAGCGGGATTTTTTTGCAAACTAGCCCAAGATATCTTGGGATGATTATCTCGACGGAATATCCCGCTAATTGTAACGGCGGGCTGGTGAAGGTGCAAATTAGCTGGATAATTTGCGATCGGGATAGTTAAAAAAGCAGGATATTTGGTGGCAATCTCGAGCTGATGAAAACAGGCCTTATGTGCACAATCTGGAAGCTTACCGCTGTGAAGGACGGCATGGGATTACCAAGATTACATATAACGCTGGAGGTGTCAACATTCTGGGTAGGTTCACAGGTCACCAGAGTCTGCTTCCCGGCACATTCTATTAGGTCATCACCGTTCTCGTCAATGCAAGACACCTGGAAGAAAAGAAAAAAATCAAACACCATGAGAGGTAGAGTAACTCTATGAACTTCCATGACATCAAAATTGCCATAAATATTTATTTATGGCCATTTTTTAATGCAAGACAGTTTTGCGCTTAGAAAACTTCAGACTTCCTAAGTCTTTGGATTAATGCCATGTCTTCATTAGACACAGCATGAATACAATGACAGAGAAATCATCTCTTGTGTGCCTCATATTGCTTCCCCCCCCCACCTGTTTCACATCTGTTAACATCACATATATTCATGATATCCCATTTCTGAGTCCATTTTTGTATTTGTCCCCTGTTCTATACTTATTAACATTATATTTGTCTTGTCGTCGCATCCATTATCTGTATTTATTTTGCATCATGCATGTAAACGAAACAAATTTCCATGTATGGTTTATGGATGATATAGTACTGAATAGACTGGTTTACACTCATATATTCAAATTTTATGCATACTTTTTAAACAAAGGTGGTTCTTGACAACCTGAAAGCTTCCCTGAGGCTTGACTGACATAGCACAAGTAATATATTCATAGTGTATTCTGAGTATTGTAGTTCATTCATTAATAACAGGTTAATGAAACAAGTTGCAAATAGGTCCCTGGGAAAGAAACATCCATACATTTGAATACGTTAGTAAACCGGTCTACTAAATTGAGTACTTCGTGTACCTCATTGATTTCAAGTGCTTCGTATCTAATGTCAATTGGGTGGTTGATCGTCAGGAAAGCTTGATGCGCCTCTTCGCCGACGTTCTCAACCCTGGCTTGAATGTAAAGTTTGGACGGTCCACCAACGATGATCTTGGTCGGGTCCCTGTGGTATGAAAATTAGATGTACCTTGTAGTTGATGGAGGTATAGCCTTGGTCACAAATGCCATTACGAACTGCTATGAACGATTTTAAGACAATGAAAATTTGGGAGGACAATGGAAAAAAACAGGGAGATTCGTACGAAATTATCTTTCGTACGAACCTTTGTGACAGTAGCATATGTTGTCACATGTGTCAATACCTTGGGTCAAAATTTTAGTGCATGTTTTACGTCAATTTCTGTGTGGAATTCTCTCTGGTTTGTTTGCTTTTGGTTCATGATATTTTTCTGGATCTCAACCATTTTCTGGTGTACTATTTGACTTTAGTTTGTGTTTTCTTTTTAGTGGTCAATGGTGGATCCAGGGGACACGAGAGGATGATATATCAAATACTTGCAACGTTCCTCTTTTCAATTTTTATCATCACCTTCTGAAAAAATGTGGATCAGTTTGGAACTTGAGTCCACCAGATTTGGTTTGGAGGTGTAAACAAATGACTGACCACCAAAGCAACTCATGTGTCCCCTGTCATAGCATGGCTACAGTCTTTTCAAGTTCCTTTTGCCAAACGAGCAAAGTTTTCAAGTTCCATGTTTAAGAGAAACCTTATATTGAAGTGTTACTGATCTTATACTGAAGTGGCAGCAGCATGATATATCACTAGAAATAAATATCTGTTTTTAGTTATCTAAGAATCTTACCCTTCAATTTCGATTTCGCCAAGGAGTCTGATGTCCGTTTCACAGACAGCGTCGGCACCACAGTCACGCACAAAGTTGACCTATATATAAATGAACATCTCAATTTTAAAACCTTTTTTTCCACTGGTGATTTCTCTTTGATTCATGAATTTTAAGTCTCTACATGATCAAATAACTTGCCATTCAATTTCAAATATCACATTTCAAAGTATTGATGACTAATGAGTCTTTCTGCTTGTCTATACATGCAATAAGAGAGAGGAAGGAAAGGTTAGAGAGTGAGAGAGAGAGAGAGAGACAGAGAGAGGGAGAGAGAGAGAGAGAGGGAGAAAAAGAGAGGGAGAAAAAGAAAGAGAGAGAAAGAGAGAGAGAGAAAGAGAGAGAGAGAAATATAGAGAAAGAGAGAGACAGACAGAGAGAGACAGAGAGAGAGAGAAATAGAGAGAAAGAGAGAGACAGACAGAGAGCGAAAGAGAGAGAGAGAAATAGAGAGAAAGAGAGAGACAGACAGAGAGAGAAAGAGAGAGAGAGAGAAAGAGAGAGAGAAAAATAGAGAGAAAGAGAGAGAGAGACAGACAGAGAGAGACAGAGAGAGAGAATGGAAAAGAGGCAGAAAGGATAAAAAGACAGACATCAAGAATAATGAATGAAGAAATAGTAGGGTATGGGAAAGTAAGAGAAGGGAAAGAAAAACTAGGAAAGATAGACACATATAATAAATTAAGAGGGATGGGGGGAGTGGAAGAAGACAAAGACAGAGAGAAATATATAGAGAGAGGGTCACAGAGGTATACAAGATGTCAAAAGATAATGGGATTGGGGAAATATATTAAGTGGAGGAACATAGAGAGGGGGAGAGAAAGAGTCGAATTATGCTGGTACACAATAATGCTACTATTAATGTTTTGTTATTATCAGAGTATATAGACAGTAGGGTGGAGGAATGCAAAGTATATAAGAAAGAGTAAGAGAGAAAGAGATGAAATGAAAACTCTGACTTACATCTTCGTTCTTGGTGATAGCTGCACACTGGTAGCTCTTCATAACTGGAGCAAGTCCTCCTGGGAAACGATATGGAATGTCTCCTCGCGGAGGGGGTTCTATTCCATAGTCCATCAAGATGTACGTCAGGTCTACAGGCATGGGACTCAAGAAGTCTGTCGCTGTATCCTACCATAATGAAAGACACAAACAGTTTGCTAGTAAAGCAACATTTGTTCCAAATCCATTCACATTAATACACCCTTTCACGCGGTTAAGGCGGCCAGTTTAATTTGCGATACATTGTGTCATCAATGTTTTCAGACGCGCATGTATTGTTGCGTCACTGCCTGCGCTGAGCGCTTACATCATATTGACATGGGCGTCTTTTTAAATTACGAGTAAACAACAACTTTGTTTACTCGTAATTTAAAATGGCGCAAATATCAGCGCATGCGCACTCTTGTAACCGTGCAAGGGTGTATATCATATCTTATCATCCCATATTTAAATAAGAAACTATGCAATGCATTCATTACAAGTTTGTTAACCAGTTCTGAGTCAGAGAAAAATTTACAGTCTCACAGGAAGTAGATCACATAGATGACTGGGGAAAAGGTAAGTTTTGAGGGATTTTTTGAAGGTGGCACAACAGGTAATTTCCCTTATGGAAGATGGATGCTGTTCCAGGTCGTTGATGCAGCTACTGCAAAACGTTATTTAGGTGCTGAGAGTCTAGATTTGGGAATGATAAGTTTACATGTGTCGGTTGCTGAGTGAAGATTATGAGATGGTGTATATATTTGGAGGGTGTCATTAAGATATTCAGGTGCTAAATGATTGAGTATTTTGAAAGCAAACAGACAGACTTTAAACATAATACGTTGGTGTAGAGGTAACCAGTGGAGTTCTAGCAGGTTCTGTGTCATATAGAGAGCCATATATTAACAGAAATTATAAGGTAACAGTAACATAGAACACAAGTAAACTTAAAGTAAAAGAGAGGCAGAGAGAGACACCAGTCAAGCAAACAATGAGATGCATTCCTGCCCTTCAATGTACAATATTCCTTACGAAAATGTACAAGAGATATTCTTGGCATGTTATGATGCGTTTTAGCACGACATGGGAGCAAAGATTTCCTTGAAAATGTGATGTACCAGGCGACGTTGCACATGTATCATGCACCAAGCATTTGTTGGAAAGACTGCTTAAATCAATAACAAAACCTTTACTTTTCAATGAGGAAAAATCATAGCTGAGAAGTTAGAAATTATATTTGGTGAAAAATATATAACAGGGGAAAGTATAGCAGTTGACATATCTATTTTATTTATGAGAACCTTCACCCCAGAAGAGCACCAACTCATTTATGCAATATACGTTCTGGCAATTGTAGTACAAAGGATAACAGCAGGTGAATGAAATTTTTCATCACCACACACACCTGGGAAGGAAGTATCGATAAATTTGAATACATTTACTTGATTAACGACTTCCCATAGTACATCACGTTATCAAGAAAATGGTGATGCCCATGTCGTGCTGAGAAACTGTACATTATTTTTGCTTCATATCTCTCATACACTTTGGTGGGGAATCTTGTAGATTAATGGGCAAGAATATAATTAATTTCTCAGAATATAAAGTAAAGTTATTTCTTGGAGTGAGGTTTTCTTTAACCCTTATAATTGACAAAATGTCACAGCTTCATATTGATTGTAAGGTTCAACATTATACTCACTGTAAGCTTTGTATCTAAAACAGCTGTGTAAATTAGACATGATCAAACTGCAATGTAGCAATGCCTGTTGCAATTCAATTGCATAACCTGAGTAGTTATTGAAGATATACACTTGTACATTAAAGATAAAGTTGAGTTCTAGTCATGCGATTACATTGTGAAAGAAACGTTGTGGAATCGATCAGAAAAGGTTGATCATCTAGCAAATAAGTATTGATGTGTACTGCAAGGTTCTGGAATCATCAAAATGATAAGAAATTTGACACAGTCCTGGTAAAGTTACAAGCACTGTACACAGAAAGATGTATATGGGACTACACGAACATGTGGCGTAAAAATCTGTCCCGATTTTTATGATGATAGATGCCATATTTAGAATATTAAGGCATTTGAAGAGCCACGCTTTTCAGGGAACACTTTTTATCTGATGTTCTTCCATACTTGCATAATACAATGATAACGCTCACAAATTATTTTTCACCTTTTCCCAGAACTCAACCTTCTCTTTAATTTTATTGTGTAAATGGGTACCTGCAGGTAAGCTGTGTAGTTGAAGCAAGTATTGCCGTATCTATATATCCGCTCAACAGCACTGATCTTGGAAACCATAGGCCTAGTTCCGTTGTCATCGAGCAGGAATCGAGGCTTGAATCCAGCCGATGTCTTCACATTGTCGACTTCCACATCGAATAGGACCTCTGAAACATGAACGAAATCAAATTATTTTAATTGTTATAATTATTTATATACTCAAATCAGGTTCTAGGACACCTACCCCTGGACAACCACCACCCCCCCCCCCCCCCCCGGATAACCACCTCGAGTCAACTACCCCCCAGACAACTACCCCAGACAACTATCCTAGGGGGGGAGTTTTCTGGGAGGTAGTGTGTGGGGGGGGGGGGGTGGGATAGTTGTCCTAGGGGGTAGTTGACCTAGAAGGTACTTGTCCAGGGGGTAGTTGTCCTGGGGATAGTTGTCCTAGGGGGTAGTTGACCTAGGGGGTTGTTGTCTGGGGGGGGGGGGAGTTATCCGGGGGGAAGTTGCCTGGGGGGAGTCGTCCTGGGGAGTTGTCGTCCTCGAGGGTGGTTGCCCTAGGGGGTAGTTGTCCCAGGGGGTAGATGACTAGGAGTGGTTATCGGGGGGCGGATGTCCAGGGGGTAGGTGTCCGGATACATAAAATCAAAATACATGAACAGTCAAACATGTACATTTCCTATTGGGGTCACTCAATGGAAATAGAGAAAGTGACCATTGTTGACAGTGGTGTAGAGGTATAAGTGCACTTATCTGTGTGTGTGCTATAGTAATTAGCTATGTGTATTAAAGAAAAGGCAGATTTGGTTTGGCAGCTAGGGGGAGGGGGAACATTCCCCCCCCCCCCTGAGAACTCCTAATCTACCAGTTATCATGTTCCTCTTCTTACCAATGTTCGCAGGTAAAGCTGCAGGGGTAGGTCCCTCGTATTTGAAGCAGACTTCAATTTTTAGACAGATACCAATTGAATCCACGCAAGATGGGTTTTCAGGATCCATGGGGTCGGGGGTCACGGTCAGGTTCACCAAAAGGTCAAGCAGGGGTCGTGTTCTAATGTGAGATCAAAGAAGATGATTGTTTTATGCAATGCAATGATGTGGAATGAGTTATCGAAAAGAAATATTATAAAGACAAAGATAAAATGTATTAAAAAAATCTCTTGGCGATAAAAGAGAAGAGGTTGAAAGGAGGAGGAGATATGATTGAAATTAAATGTAAAATAATCTTTGCCTTTTAATACTACTCCATACTTTTCATTGCTTTCTGTTGTTGTCTTGAATTACATTTTACTCATGTAAATGCATCAAAGAGTATTCAGGATATTTTGAAGTCCACCCCCCCCCCCTCCCCCATCCAGCCAGGGTGTCAGTATTATTGACATTTCTGACAGTTGGAGGCAGTCGTTTTATGGTAGAACTAGAAGCAATTTTAAAAATTCAAATTTGATTGTAATTAATCCATTAACGGGTTCTCAGAATATTGTGATTACAAGCTATTTTTTGCATACATAATGAGCCATATGACCCTTGACCTTTACCCTTGTGACCCCAAAATCTAATCAGTTTATTGGCTCTACAAGTCACATAGATGACCCAAGCTAGGCGGTAATCCATGAATCAGTTCATGAGATCAAGTTACAAATGGGTACTTACTTATAGAGAAAGACAGAGTCGTTGGCATAGGCTCCAATGGCAATGTCAGGGTAGTTGTTGCTATCAAAATCCTGGCCTCCAGAAATGGAGCTTCCAAAGGAATAAACGGTAGGGTCTGTGTCTCTTCCATCAATCCGCTATATGTCCAAGAGAGACAGACAGACATAGAGAGAGACAGAGATAGACAAAGATAGAGCCAGAGAGAAAGAGAGAGGGCAGAGACACCGAATTAGAGAGACAGAGACAGGCAGACATAAGGAGAGAGAAAGAGAAAGAGGGATGAGATAGATAACAAAATCATTTTAAGAAATAAAGGTATAAATGTGTATGAAGTATTAAGGGTGACAGAAAGGCGTCAGACGTTGATCAATAAAGATATAAATATAGATAGATATGTAACGAATTTATTACAGATCTCGCATTGTACTTTCTTATAAGAAAGGAACATATTTAATACTACTTTAAACATATTGGATTTCAAATACTGTGCTTTATACCAAAAGAGTAAGAAAGTTTAGTTGTAACGCCCGGACCTTCTTTGGGGAAATGGGAGTTTGACGTAAAACGATTACCACGGTCAACAAACTAAACTTCTCTTTCAGCGTGCGAGAAAGAACCAACATGAAAGGAAACCCTGTGTCCACATGCAGGGTCAGGACCCTTCGGTAAGAGCTTAAAAGGGTGAGAACGGAACCAATATTGACCCCATCGTAACCCGATATTGGTTATTAGCCTTGCTGTTGGTTGAGTTAATACAGCCATCAAACAGTCTGATGCATGTTTCTCTGAAAAGGTGTGCTCCTCCCAAATGGCGCCCCTAAAATCCCTGATGGTAATTGTCCAAACAAGAAGTACAGTAACACAAAATCAATATGTAAGATGGAGCCACAAAGACATGACTTTTCTTCCTAGACACATCAGTACTGGGCAGTAAATCGACAATCGTACAGACAAAAGTTTGTTAGTTTTCTTGTAGAAATTTTCCCTTAATATGCATCAATACGTTCAAGATTTTCCCAAGAACCTCTTAAGTAAGATCTAACTTTTACTATTTGAACTTTGCTCTCAGCTGTCAAGTCTTCCATCAAAAGTTTCTCAATTTTGTTTGGGAAATAATCTTTAATGATCAATACATGAAAACTTCTAGGACTGTGAAAAGTGCTTTGATTTGTACAAGTTGTAGAATTACATATGTCTAAAACCCAACACTAAATAAATAAGTAATGGAATAAATAAAATCCCTCAAGAAAAAAATAAGGTCCAAAAATCAATGGATAAAAAGTAAAAATGAAAAATCATTAAAAAGCTCAGAGATTCAGGGGTGAATTCAGGATTGTTTAAAAGGGGGCATAAATCCAAGAAAGAAAAGGTAACCATACTATTCAGGTGCCTTGTAGTAGGTTGAAACTTTGAAAGAGAGGGCACATTTAGGTGTTTTTTCACTTCATGCCTATTGTACTTAAAAATGGAAGGAAAGGAGGGTCTGTTCCGATGGCTCGGGTAAAATGCCATAGGGAAAAATGTCAACGAAAAAATGTCAGAGAAAAGAATGTCAAAGAATTACCTCTGACATTATTACCTCGGGCATTTGTAGCTCTGACATTATTACCTTTGACATTATGACCTTTGACATTATTACCTTTGACATTTTTACCTCTGACATTTTTACCTCTAACTTTATTACCTCTGACATTATTACCTCTGACATTTTTACCTCTGATATGTTAACCTCTGACATTATTACCTCTGACATTATTACCTCTGACATTATTACCTCTGACATTATTACCTCTGACATTTTTACCTTTATAACCTCTGACATTAATACCTCTAACATTATTTCCTCTGAAATTTTTACCTCTGACATTTTGACCTCTGATATTTTGACCTCTGACATTATTACCTCTGACATTATTACCTCTGACAGTATTACCTCTGACATTATTGCCTCTGACATTTTTACCTCTAACATTATTTCCTCTGACATTATTACCTCTGACATGTACCTCTGACATTTTTACCTCTGATATTATAACCTCTGACATTATTACCTCTAATATTATTACCTCTGACATTTTTACCTCTGACATTTTTACCTCTGATATTATAACCTCTGACATTAATACCTGTAACATTATTACCTCTGACATTTTTACCTCTGACATTTTTACCTCTGATATTATAACCTCTGACATTATTACCTCTGACATTATTACCCCCGACATTATTACCTCTGACATTATTACCTCTGACATTATTACCTCTGACATTTTTACCTCTGACATTATAACCTCTGACATTATTACCTCTGACATTATTACCCCCGACATTTTTACCTCTGACATTATTACCTCTGACATTATTACCTCTGACATTTTTACCTCTGATATTATAACCTCTGACATTTTTACCTCTGACATTTCCACCCCTTACTTTACCTCTGACATTTTCACCTCTGACACTTTTACCTGGCACCCCCTGACCCCCCCCCCCCCCCCCCCTCCCTTACCCTATCCATCAGTAAATGATTTACTAACCTGGGAGTATGCTTCATCAATACCACTCTCAGTACCTGGATAAATGTACACCACTCCTCCTCCCTCATACGGTGCTCCTATGGCTACGTCTGCAACATAAAATTGAATCATTCATTCATTCAATTAGGAGTTACAGTCAAACCTGTCTATAGCAACCGCCCAAGGGAAACGCAAAACATGCTCTTTGGAGACAGGTGGTCTTTGTAGACAGGTTCCTTTAGTACATGTTTCAATGAGAAACCGTTTTCAAGGGAAACAAAAAATGGGGTCTTTGTAGACAGGTGGTCACTAAAGTAGGTTTGACTGTAGTTCTATTTCATTCATATACAAGTCATGCTTTCGATCTGAATCATCATTATTCAGTTAAAGGGAATGATATGGCAATGGATGACAATACTGAAGATAAAATTACACAACTACATCCCTGTCACCCATTTGTTTCCCTTTTCCTGGCTCATCAAGAACTGATGGCCTAATGGAAAACTAAAATAGAATTGCATATCAACCTCAACATGCATGAGGTGTAGGCATATTTACATAACACAGAAATGGTTTTAAATAATGTTATGTTAGCCAGCATTTTCACCCCTACATCATATCAACTTATTGATCAATCCATTATATCAGCTGTGCACATTTTCATGTTATCTCAAGATCACTCCATCCCCAACCAACAGACTAACCAAAATAGTTTATTTTGGGATAGAAACAAGTTCCAAGTTCTGATCAGTAGTTTCATGGACAGACAACAAGATCATTGCCAATTTATAACAATTTTTGCTGAAATCATCCTAAATTTTGGCGAGATTTACAAAATCTTTGGTTATTTGTCTACATCACTATGATCACAATATAAAAGCGGATGAATGAAAAATTAAAATTGAATTGAAATGTATTTGAAAACTAATATCATACATGTTCAATATATTATTGTTTTGTTTCATACCATATGTATGTTGCTGATTACAGGAAAATAAAAACAAGCAGTAACATTTTATCACAGTACTACAGCTGTTATGAGCTATATCCATCATATTTGTATCTAAACTGACATCAAATATTTATCCAATGTACATATTCATGTAATAATAATATCGAATATTTAGGAGCGCTAAAAAGTATCATAGCGCTTGCAAATACAAATATATGAAATGAGGACAAAAATGTACAGTACAGGAAGTATATCACATAGATCATTGGGGATAAGGGTGAGTTTTGAAAGTGCCAAGACAGGTAATTTCCTGGCAACTGTGGAAATAAATAGATAGAAACAAACAAACAAATGTGTTAGACATTCTCTCCTACCTGGGAAAGTATCAGTGTTGATGTCGTTGATGGTGGTAATGACCTGGCCGAACCTTGACCCCGGGGTAGATGTACCATCTATCTTCTGATGAAGCTGGAGAGGTGAGGACTGTTTGAAAAATAAAACAAACCCTTTCCTTAAAAGATATAAGGTTTAAATGACCCTTTTCTTTGTAATTTCTTTTCATTAAAGCTAATCTTGAGCTCTGGTATAGGAAAATTACTATGATTTATTCTGGATTTTTTTTATCCTGCAGTAGATTGGTTGTTTGAGCCAGGGAAATTTTTAAAAACGCAAAAAAAATTACTGTGCATCATCTTCGATAAAAACCATAACTCCCATACGCACATAGTGACAGAGCCTACTACCTTGATTTCCTTGTCTTTCTATGCTCATTACTCAGCCACTATACATTTTCTACCAAAATCGTTTGGCACATGTCATTTATTTGTAAAAAATAATAATAATAACAATAATAATAATAATAATAATAATCTTTAAAGTCCACTCCAAATTTTATAAAGTTAAACCGAAAATGGAAATTCTTTTTGCCCAATTGATCGTGAGCCCGGCAGCCACTGAGAAGCGCCAGATCGACATTGCTCTATCCCCTTATTGTTGAACGCCAAACAAGGTAGCAGCAACTCCCCTCTTTTAAGGTCTTTTGGTATGACGCGGCCAGGGTTCGAACCCACGACCTCCCGGTTGTGAGGCAGACGCTCTACTGACTAAGCCAACACACAGGTACAAATCTTGAACATTCAGTGTAAGTTTCGTTGGATTCTGTGAGAATTCATTTTTTATATTTACCAAATCTCAAGTTTATCTTTAAATTATATTTACTAATAACCATACTAGATAGGGAATTATTAGAGTCATACTCAATAATGAGCTATGAAGCAAAACAGGAACCGTCTTGTATCACTTTCTCACACCAATAAGTCAAGTTGCTGTATTTTGGTACACGGATGTATAAGGAAATGATATCGAGTGCTTTATCCTTGTAAAAGATAAAGTTCCTGGTACTGAAACATTATTTACAAGGTAAAATAAATACACAATTTAATACTGTTAGATAAAATTGTTTACATTTTGGATCAAATCGATTTTGACAAAGGAAGGAAATCACTATTTTACTCTATTTTTCTTGATTGTCTTTTTTTTGTTGTCCAGTATCTTGTTGGAGTGCTTTGGTGTCATGTTATATTTTATACCTAGTAATCACACCTAAAACAGACACCAAAACCTACATATTCTGAAGATAGTATTACGACAAGAAACTAATATTCACTGGAACAACCTACGGTTGCATATACTTACACCACCACGATTCATATAGACGTAGACTCTGCCTTCATCTTGATCGGTGGAATACAGTGGAGCACCGACCAGGAGATCATACAGGCCGTCATTATTGATGTCAAGGGCCTCTACTGCTCCTCCAAAATATGTATTCATCTAAAGTATGATTGGATTAGAAGGAGAATATATTTCATGGAGGATTTTTTCATCTGAAAAACAGCCCTCACAGAATGAGCCTCTGTTTTATGAACAATTGATAATTGGCACAGTCAAAATTGCAGTATGGGTCGTCACATCATTTTATATGGGGAAATTAAAATAAATGGTTTCATGATTCATAAATGTCCCAGTTACATGGGTGCATGTATGCATATCAATTTTCAGACCATTCTCATGATCATCATCATAATTGTACTAATCGTTACTCCGAATTCACACAAAACCATTCAAAAATCATATTTAGTCTGAGCCTGTTGCATAAAACTTACCATTGATGGTGACTACCATGGAAACCTTAATTTTGATTGGCTGTTGAGCCGTGTTACAATGGTAGTTGCCATTGATGGCAAAGTTACCATCAATGGTAAGTTTTATGCAACGGGCCCGGGGTGCTTTATACAAATTAAGAAAATAACCAAATAGAAAATCAAAAATCATCAAAAATCTAATTTGGAATTTCTCAATTTTTTCTTCATTTTCCGAAAGAGCATCAAAAATAACGTCCAAATGTCAAAAACCAATTGAACATGTTAAGTACTGGCAGAGATATGACCATCTCATTACATAGATTTCCTATAGGAACTCAATGTTATATTGCTCTGGCTCGTAAGGAAAACGAAGAAAACATTGAGAAATTCCAAAAATAGATTTTGATGATGTCACAGCTTTGGTACTCTATTTGGAACTAAATCAGCTCCACATTTATTTCTTACCATCTCTCCCTGCAACTCCTGATAGACTTCAAATGTTTCCAGATCATGGATGTAAACTTTACCGACTAGCCCTCCTGCCCTGGGCGCCCCTGAAGCACTTTGTTGGGTTGTTTCTGACAGGAAATAACCCACGGACGTCGAGTAGCCTGGAAGTAAATGGTTACATTTATTGGATAGATCATAACTCAGATAAACGCTGACTAGGCTTTCCTGGGTAAACAAATTACTAATCATGAATAGTACTATTATTGTTGTCGTTGTTGCTGTTGTTATTATTACTATTATCATTACAATATTACTATTGTTATTATCATTATTATTATCATTGTTATTATTATCCTCATCATCAGCATCATTATCATCATCATCATCATCATGATCATCATCATCATCATCCTCATCATCATCATCATCCTCCTCATTATCATCCTCATCGTCATCATCATCATCATCATCATCGTCATCATCATTATCCTCATCGTCATCATCATCATCATCATCCTCATCATCATCATTATCATCATCATCATCTTCATCATCATCATCATCATCATCATCATCATCATCGTCATCATCATTATCCTCATCGTCATCATCATCATCATCACCATCATCATCCTCATCATCATCATCATTATCATCTTCATCATCATCATCATCATCATCATCATCATCATCATCATCATCCTCATCATCATCATCATCATCCTCATCATCATCATCCTCATCATCATCATCATCTTCTTCATATCTTACCAACGTATTGATAGAAGCCGTCATATGAATAGTCGGCATTCAAGGTACTTAGGTTACCGGCTATCATGTTTGCACCATCGCCAGTTGCCTTGAAAGTTGTACCTGCATAAAGTAAAAATAAATATTTAATCAAAAGCCTGGGTTTTGCCTCTACATGATCTACAGTTGAGCTGCTATAGTTAGCACTATGTCCTGCATAAATTGTATAAACCATTTCATTTATTATCATATAAACATGAAGATTGTCAAACAAAAAATATACATTTTGACACAGTCTTTTTGCTGCATATTTAGATTACAGTCTTGCTAAATAATTCCAGTTTATCAAAGAAAATACAAAACAAGAGGTTACACACTCAAACACATTTATTCTATTTTCTGGTTGCTTGTATATCCTTAATTCATTTCGTTCATTTAATATCATATACAATTTTAGCCAAACGCTCTGTCCCTGATACAAAATGTAGTGCAGACTGACTTCCAGGGCCTATACTCCTATTTAACCTCATCTATATAGTACATCTTTCTGATAGGCTTAATAGCCCTTTGAAAATTAATATAAAGAGAAGAAGAAGAAGAAGAAGAAGAAGAAGAAGAAGAAGAAGAAGAAGAAGAAGGAGAAGAAGGAGGGGAAAAAGAAGAAGATGACGATAATGATGAGGTGATGGATGGATGATTGAGAGAAGAGCAACAGGAAAGGGTGAAAAGGAGGGAGGAACAGGTGGGGAAGGGAAAAGAACAGAAGTGGCAGGGGAAGAAGTTTGAAGAGAAAAGTAAAAAGATGTAGAAGAGAACAATGAAAAGCAGAAGAAAAAGATGATGATGAAGAAGAAGATGAAGTAGAAGAAGAACAACAACGATTAGAACAACAAGAACTAGAACAACAAGAACAAGAACAACAAGAACAAAAACTCTGGCCATACTTGGACCAATGACCTACCCGTCCAGTCGTAGGATCCCGGGGCACCTGCCACTAAAGTCTGGTCACCGTCCGTCTCAACGGTGTAGGTTGCACTGGCACCAAACTGACACCATCCCTGCCATCGTGTCGTCTCATTCTCAACAATTCCATCTCTCCAAGCGTCATCTGGTTAAAGATAAGATGAATTAATCATTGCTTAGATTGTACAGTGCGTCCCAGAAAGAACGAAACCGAGAATTATCAACGTTTTATCATAATTTAGTCACATTTATAATTAATAAATGACACATATTTGGAAAGTTTAGCTCCTCTTCTTTCATGGGATGCAACTCACATGATGCATATTTCATGCATGAGTGATTAAAATGAATTTGAAGAGAGGAAACAAAAAAGTCATTTGGCAGTCGGTATCTGAATTTCAAAGAGAAAATCACATTTCTAGAAAGTTGAGTTTCTGCCCTTTTATATGACACCTCAATCAGGAAAAATGAGCAAGGAATGACAAAGTTCTGTTTGTTTAAAGTAGAGCTTTCATTTCCATAATTTTACCAAACGCATTCGTTTTCACTGGCTGCCTGCCGTACCAACAAGCAGAATTGACTTAACTCCGTTTCGTTGACAATAAGCCATGCATCAAGTCTTTCGTCATCGGCTGATTGTCAACAAAACGGAGTTAAGTCTTTTGTTAATTCCGTCTGTTGCCACGGCAGGCAGCCATTGGAAACGAATTCGATTTCATACACTAAATGAATTTTTCACTCCAACCCTGACCAAAATACTACCTAACCTAACCTTGACCCTTAAATTGTAACCTAAACCTAACCCTATCATTTTTATGAAAATAATCCTGTAGCATGCGTTGGATCAGCATTCTTCATTTGGACATCTATTTTCACTTTATACTTCAATATTGTCAAATTTAAGTTCTCTGTATTTCTTATCAGACATAATAATCCTCCCCACAAACACATACTTGTAAGACATTCAAATGAAGAATAAAGAGCTTCCTTATGGCAGGGAGATATTTAAGTCACATCTCTCTGTTTATAGGGGGAAATAACTTCATAGTAATGCCCGCATCAGAGCTAAATTCTGTGTACCTGGTGGAAACTTCCTTGTTGCATTATCTATAATCTGCTTTATGAGTTTCATGGACAATTGTTGGCCCTAGATAAGTGAGCATTAATGTTGTAATCCTGTGTTTTGTCACTAGTCTAATCCATCCGGCTTTAATCAGTCTAGCGTTAAGACCTCATAAGCACGGGGAGAGAATTTTGACAGCAGAGTGTCAAACCATATTGCCAACAAACTTTGCATTTCCTTTTCAAGCTCTAATAACTACTTACAAGTAACATTAGTTAGAAATTATAATTATATTGTAATGGGAAAATAAAAAGGTTTTCAGAATTTTGAAGAAAAAAATTAAACAAAAGTATGTTGACGAACTTTACCAAATATTTTTGGAAATTAAACAAGAATTTCTACAGTTCTACGGGAAAATCACCACCAATATTTTGAAAGGGGGATGCCCCTGTTTCATGTCGTTGTCTGATTAAATCGACATGTAAATCGGGTTACTCTTAGGCTACAATCGGGTAGGACAATAAAGATGATATTTTCCACACATATTGTAGATCGTCTGTGTCTGGTTTTAATTGTCGTATAATTCTACCAAGAGGTGGTGCTATACCTCTTACAGCCCCCTCCCTCTTCAGTGCCAGTGCTTAATTGCCAGGCCTTCTCAAAAGGCCTGTTTTCATCAGCTCGAGATTGCCAAATATCCCGCTATTTCAATTATCCCGATCGAAAATTATCCAGTTAGTTTGCGTCTTCATCAGCCCGAAGTTGCAATTAACAGGATATTTGGTCGGGATAATCATCCCAAGATAACTTGGGATAGTTTGCAAAATATCCTGCAATTTGTCCGGTGCGTCTTCACCAGCCCGAAGACTCGCACTATGAGCGAAAGCAGAGCAAAATATCTCGAGCTAATTTCTGAAGATCGAGTTTCAAGTTTTGAGGTCGAATCTCGAGCTGATGAAGACGCGATTTGTAACTTCAGGATTATTTCCCAAATCAGAAATAGCGGGGTATTTGGCTATCTCGAGCTTATGAGGACACCCCTAAAGACTTACGCTGTGCACAAGGGTTAAACCTAGTCGTTGTTCCCTCAAGCATTGCATCCAGACTATAGCAAAGGCCCTGGAAGTAGCGATCTGTTTTATAGTCAGACAGGTTGGCGTTGGGTTCGTTGATCGCAAAGTCATTCCCGAAACGATGTGCACACACCTGAATGAGAAATCATTGCGATACGAATATCATCAATTTGTCTAAAGTCTACTTTGTCTACTTCAGGCAATTATGAAGGGTTGAATCTACTTGAGGAATAGCACATGTACAAATGACTCAGAATATCCACATAATTTAATATGGAGAAGTCCCACTTTATGCATTTTAGAATAGTCACTGCCAAAGTGTTGGAGGTGCTTCAACATGAATACCTTTGTTTGCCCTCTTGAAAAGAATACTTCCACCTGTGTATCATGGACTCTGATACATGATAGTTTCAATTACATATCTATCATGAAAACATATCCAGTATTCGTATCAATGGGTTTCACAGTTGTGAACAAATGACTTTTATCTACCGGTGTGATGACAGAATCTCTAAAGTGGCCTCCCTCACGATGCCACATGGCAAAAGTACTAGTCATGTCAGAAAGATAAAATATATGGACGGTACATTTTGCTATGAAGATTTACATATGACTGTTTCAATGAGCCCATCCTTAGACCTTAAATCAAGAACATATTGCATTAATTAATGAAAGAATTACTTTCAAAGCATTTCAGAATCAAAAGTAAATCATTTGTGTTGTCATTAAAATCATATAATTTCTAATATACGAGGTATAAAAGAAGAGAGGTTTACCGTGACTTCTCCGACTAATTGCTGATTTGATTGTCTAGTGAGAGACGCACCCATCCAACCGTTGTCTGGGTAATCTACAATTCCTTGTTCGAGTAGAGAAGATGCAGCTAGTAATGGAAGAGATCAAAGAACCATCAAAAGATCTAGGTTTATGGTAGTCCAAAGGCGGTTTATGGTAGTTTTAAAGGCAGTTAATGGTAGTCTAAAGGCTGTTGGTGTTAGTTAAAAGGCGGTTTATAGTAGTTTAAAGGTGGTTTATAGTAGTTTAAAGGTGGTTTATAGTAGTTTAAAGGTGGTTTATGATAGTTTAAAGGCATTTTATGGAAGTTTAAAGGCATTTTATGGAAGTTTAAAGGCATTTTATGGAAGTTTAAAGGCTGTTTATGGTAGTTCAAAGGCTGTTATGGTAGTAGTAGTTTAGAGGTTTGAAAAAAAAATTGAAATGAGCATTCAGGTGTTAAATTTTGACTTATAATAATAATAATAATAATAGTGGGTTCTTGTATAGTGCTCATGTCAGTCAGATTTGATCCTCCTGGCGCTCCCGATTGTTACCCTGGCTTTAGCACGGCCGCAATACGGCGCTCTAGCATGCTTTTTAAATGTTCATTTGGCATAAAATAAGATTAAACAAGAAACTGTTACACAAAGAAGAAGAAAAATGTAGTAAATCTTTAAAAATCCAAACACATAGTTCATTGTTCATGCACAATTCTCTTGGGTTGGATTTGCAGCCCAGAGCATGGAAATAAGAAGAAATCAGTCTACTTTTTGCCACCAGTACAACAATAAGTTAAGAGCAAATTGTGTTGGAAAAAAAATGTTCAGCCCTTACATCACAGAGACATTATTGATTCAGCCAAATTGAAGAGCCCCCTACCTAAAGTGATGCAACTTTCAAAAATCAAAACATGCCAATTTCGTTCAAACTTTCACCAGTCTACTTTTTTGATTTGTCTGTTTCCTTTAGAGTAGTTTTCTATCAAGGTTGGATTCGTTTATAATTTTTTTATAAAGGGGATCCAGTTGCAATATTTTGAGGAGCACATAAGTCATTTTTCTCAAAAGTTAGCCCAATTACATTCCTTTTGATGTGAGAGGTAGATCAGGATGGGTGGTATGGGTATAGGGTTGGCAAAAGAGTCCAGCTACTGCACGAGGGGACATGGGCATCTGGAGGGAGAGAGGGGGCACAGAACTCAGAAAATGATTTGCAAATTTACAAGGCCATTTACATTTATTATCTTCCTTTTTTAAAATCTTCTCCCTTTCCTATTCTCTTTAACCATCTTCTTCATTTTCCTTCATTCTTTTGGGGGCACATCCCCCAACCCCCTCCTTATGTGCCCCTCAAACTACGTCACTGTGTTAAAAGGGAAGTGAACCCTGATATTTTAGAGGGTGCAGGGTGAAAATTCATAGCTTTCGTATATTTAATCAGTTTTTGCTCAGATTTTCACTGCTTCTATTAAAACCAATTTAATATCAGGGTGGACCTCCCCTTTAAACATTTTAAGGGGTGCAGATGAAACATGGCAGGGTTATGAGGTATACACAAAGACTTACTGGTCCCCCTTGGATCTTCGAGACTAACAGGTGTACACTCTGTCAGGTCAGTATTGGAGTTACACTGCCAGAGCGCCCCAGGATTCTCCGCAGTTGGTTGATACTCCGATGTACTACCTCGCGGTGCTCCTACTAAAACCCTGCATGGAAAAAAGACACAAAAAACAGAGAGAATGTTGTAAAGATGATTTTGATATTTTTAATTATCAAGACTGCTTTATAGAAAGGAGGGTGTTCAGTGGCAAATCCAGGATTCTCTGGTGGAAGAGGAACAAGTCAGAAATTTGCTGTTCATTGCTTTGTTCTCCCCCCCCCCCCCCTTTTTTTATTTTGTTTTGGCAAGGGGGCGTGTGCCCCCTTCCCCACTCATGCCACTAACTCTACATAGTACATTTTATAGCTCCCAGGAAAAAAAATATTTTAAAAATTTCGGGGGCAACTTTTCAAGCTTGCTTGCATGAAAAAAACACTCTTCAATTTTTTTTGCTTTGAAATCTATCCATTTTTTTTTATTTTTTTATTTTTTTTTTGGGGGGGGGGCTCTTTTATGACTTTCGGTGGCTCTTTTTTGGCATATTCGGGGGCAAATTCGCCCGAGCCCCCGTGTATTTTTTCCCTAATACCACCAAGAGACCTACAGCTTTATAGGTCCAATAAATGGACTTGGTTATTGAGGATTTCTAAAAATTTGCTCATTCATTTTGCCAAAGATATAGGGAGAGGGTTGCAATTGGGTCTTGAGGTTTGGGTAAGGAATACCATTTGGGATAGTTGAAGGTTGAAATAAGAAATTTGGTCAATGTAGAATATTGACTGCAGAGCAAAATGTCGCGTTCGAACAAGCCATCTCCAAAGTTGGTTTAGAACACAATTTCCTATTCAAAGTTTGTTGCTCTTTCCACTTTTTAATATATCTTTACAAAAATATGTCTACTTTTTATTGATTTTTTTTAATTTCCTCATTAAAGCTCAAACTGATGAATTTCGTGCTGATTGTCTTCAAAATCACTACTCCCAATGAAAAATATATATATTTTCAATTATTCATAAAAACCATACAGCCCATCGCATACCCTCTTTTACGATTCATGAAATAACTCTGACTCGGTTTCGATTGGTTGGTTAGTGAGAAACAGGGAGGGGAGAGGGGAGAGGGGGACGGGGGACAGAGGAGAGAGGAGAGAGGGGGAGAGGGAGAGAGAGGGGAGAGGAGAGAGGGAGAGAGGGAGAGAGAGGGGAGAGGAGAGAGGAGAGAGGGAGAGAGAGGGGAGAGGGGAGAGGAGAGAGGGATGGAGAGGGGAGAGGAGAGAGGAGAGAGAGGAGAGAGGAGAGAGGGAGAGAGGGGAGAGAGGAGAGAGGGAGAGAGGGGAGAGAGTAGAGAGGGGAGAGGGGAGAGAGGGGAGAGGGGAGAGAGGGGAGAGAAGGGTAGGTGAGAGAAGAGAGAAGGGACATCAGAGAGAGAGTATTGGTGTGAAAATGGACAGAGTCCCTTTCCTGTCTTCATCAGCATTGCCAAATATCCCGCTAATTAAACTATCCCGATCGCAAATTATCGAGCTAATTGGCATCCTCATCAGCCCGCAGTTGCAATTAGCGGGATATTTGGTCGAGATAATCATCCAAAGATAACTTGGGCAAGTTTGCAGAATATCCCGCTATTTGTCCGGTGCGTCCTCACCAGCCCGAGGCCTCTCACTATGCGAGAACGCTGGGCAAAATATCTTGTGCTTATTTCTCGAGCTCTTGTTTCGAGTTTCGAGGTCGAGTCTCGAGCTGATGAAAATGCGATTTGTAACTTTGGGCTTCTTTCCAAAATCAAAAATAGCGGGCTGTTTTGGCAATCTCGAGCTAATGAGGACATACCTTAGAGTCTGAAGGAAAAACCGAAGTAGTGAGAAAAGAGAAGGAAGGAAAGAGAGAGTGACAAAAGAGATAGAGAGTGGGTAAAAGACAACCTGGTAAAAGAGAGGCAAGAAATAGACAGATGAAGAGAAATTAACAAACAAAATAATAATGAACAAATGAAAGAAGGGTGGGAGGTGTGAGAGATGAGAAGAGTACCAGGGAAATGAGGAAAGAGAAGGAGAGAGAGAAGAGAAGAAGAAAAAGAAGAAGAAGAAGAAGAAGAAGAGAGAGAGAGGGAAGAGAAGGGAAGAGAAGGGGAGAAAGGGGAGTTTCGTGCCTTTAATATTGACCAAATGAAATATAATTTAAATCTAACGATTTCACCACAGTCGCGAGAATCTGTTTCCGGCAAAATACGACGGATTGTTTTTAATTCATGGTCAAGTTCACAATACAAACACATCATTAGAGAGCTAATCTCTGCCAAATCCTGCCGCGTATAACCCAAAAGTATTTACTTATCTATCTGCTCCCTTCAAAGCGTCCAAACCAACAGAAACATATCAACAATGTCCATGTTTTTCGTAATTATTCTGCACTTATCTTTATATTCACGGTGCCTGTTCTACATGTTGGCCTAAACATGCTAAATGTTAAACCTTGTATATCTTTGATAGGATCAGAGTTGTGTGTGTGTTTCAAATGACGAACGTTTATATTTTATCCAGACATAACAAGAAAGGCCCTAAATGCAATGAAAACCGGGGGGGGGGCTTTGGACTGAGGTTACTCCCCCCCCCCCCCCCCCATGTATTTTCTAATCAGTATTCGTGTAATCGTCACTTTATATACTACAGTGAACAGGTTTTATAATAAGTTTGTATAGGTCTACATTTTGCTCATGAATTTACATTGCCTTCTATAAAGTGTCCAAATGTTATGCTTGTTCATGTAGGCGTACTTCGCTCGCAACAAAATGCAACAGGCGTCAATCCGTTAGCAAAGTATTGTACTCGATGGCATATGCAAAATGTATTATTATTTATACTGCGTGGATGCATATGATCGTCGATACTTTTCTTTAAAACTTGATGGACACATGCAACATGAAAGAGAGACAAGATACAATATACTACATTATGCAATGTTTGGTAAAACATGAGAACAAAATAATGCCGACTTTGACTTTGGGTGCATGCCTTCCCGATGTGTTTCTTCACAGCTCGGATTAAACCGCAAAGTAACCACCAATCACAACACTTTAGGCAGGATATTCGTGTTTTGAATGGCAACAGCAAGCCGTTCCAATAATTCCTAACTTACACGCCAATTTACTGACTTACTGACCTCTATATCTCCAAGCGCACAGAGAAAAAGGACGATTTTAAATGGAAATAATTATAAACCAACGAGTCACAGTGGTGTGCATATAGGAGTAATATTTTACAATGTTTTACAATAAGTTAAATACAAAAAAACACATAGTGGCAATTAGTGCTCAAAATGTAATGCCGCTTAAAGGTAAAGACCAGTTTTGGAAACGCCCCAATTTCAAAAAATGAAATGGAAGCTCTCATTACCAATCATGTGAAAGAATGTGTTTTGACTAATACATGATGATACAAAATTTGCCGGGAAACCGCCTACTAATTCATATATTTGGTAAATTTGTTTCTCTCATGGTCTGTGAGAGATATAGGGTAGTCCCATATACATATTTCTGTGTATAGTGCTTGTAACTTTACGAAGAATGGGCCAAATTTCTTATCATTTTGACGATTCCAGAACCTTGAGGATGCTTAGATGCTAGATGATCAACCCTTTCTGATCGATTCCACAACGTTTCTTTCACAATGCAATCGCATGACCATAACTGGTCTTTATCTTTAATATGGAGATGAAACATGGTTAGGGGTCAGTCATGGGGAGGTGAGGGGTGCACTGATCTTACTAAGTTGAAAAAATGCGAGGAGAAAGGAGCGACCGAACGGGCGACGATTATGACTGTGAGCGTCCCGTCATCTTCTCCCCCTGCTCTCACTTTTTTCTCTCATTTTCTACTTGTTTTTGGTGCTAGCCGATTACCAAGGCAAGTGCCCCCAGTCCCACAACTTCCCCGTGGCTACGCCATTGAGTAAGAGTAAGAGAGCAAGATAACTTCTATCAGATTCATCGAAAGATGGAGTTGTTGGTGTCACAGCCCATCCAAATACAGAATATTCAAAGAGGTGACGCCGAAAAATCATAAATCTGAAGAATTGTTTTCACCTCTTTCAGCAAAATTTAAAGTAATACCCTTGCTTTTTGCGCCCCCTGCTCTACTCGATGCCGATGAATTCGCTTCCCCTCTCTCTTTTTTTATTTTTGGGGGGAGGGGAAGAGGAGGGTCAATCCCTCCTAAACCTAGTGATACTCCTGCAGCTGTGTGGCTACTCATTTTGTGTTTACATCAACAATGAAGCCAGAGGTGGAGCAAGGGTCTTGGTTTTAATAAGGGGTGCGCAAAGCCTTAATATGCTGCGTGGGGGGGGGAGGGGGACACGCCCCTTGTACCCACTTTTGGATCCATCCATCCAGGAGACCATTTCCGAAAACAATACTGCAAACAATGAAAATGAACCCAATGGGAAAAAACTGTAATAATAGCTTGTTTATTCCCCGCGGTGTTATAATCTCCATTTCCATGGGTAGCATGTTGGCATTATCTTCTTTCTACATAACCATGGACGGGAAAAGAACCGGAAGTTGTTCTATCTAGAGACCGGAAGTGTAGTATTAAATGGTCATAATGTCATGGGGAAGCGCAACCGTTTGGGAGACACGATAAGAGAGATGGTAATGGTGGAGTTATTGGAATACAATCATAAATCATAGGATTTTTATTTTGGCGGACTAATTTATGAATTGAGTAGGGCATGCTACCGCCATTTTGAATGAATGTGTGATTTAAGTGATAACGTATATTTGGGGGCTGGGACACAGACGCTGCCAGACAAAAAAGTGAGCCTAAATTAATTAGGCCTCTTAGGTACATACATGATGAAATTATTTCCACGGTTCTGAAAACGTGCTTCTTCAATTAAAACCTTTAACAAATTATTGGCGACTAATTAGCATCTTGGGCCTATGTCGAAAATTTACTCTGTGTGCGTTACCGAATTCGAATTTATAATTTCTTTTGAAATACAGTGCTTTGTTCAGTTTCTTGTAACTGGTTAGTTTCTATATTAAACAACGTTTCTTCGTATCATTACTTATTATTAATATTATCTATTATCTATTATATATTAATATTATCATTCCCGAAGTAAAAAAAAACAAGTAAATGAACAACGT